CACAATACATAGAAACTGTTAATACCAAAAATGTTCAGCAAAATAAGATCTACAAATAAGACAACTTGATAACATAAAAAGTACAAATGTGTGCATATTTCCACAAAAATGTCTCTTCAGTGGTGCTTGAGGCCAAAATATTTGAAAATCCAAAACTAATATAAACTTTGAAGAGCTGATCAAACAAAAAAGAACCTAAAGTATAGCCAAATCCTGACAAGGAATCAGAGCTTTGCATGAGGGAGATATATTCCTTGATTTAAAATGATTTCCAAAATTTTAATTACATCAAATTTCAATCAAAACAATGTCTGTATTTTCATGCCAGTTCTGAAGAACTGGGTACCGGGCTGGTAATTCCCTCATGGACAAACTGTTGACCTGCAAGGGTATGACCTAGCAGTAGTAATAGAATTGAGAATGGAAACGGGGAGTGTGTCAAAGGGACAACAACCAAACTAAAGAGCAGAAAACAGCACAAGGCCACCAATGGCATTTTTTTACAAAGTGAGCAATTCAGGCTCTTGGGAGCCTATTGTTTATTATTTGGAGAATTAAGTGTTGAGGGTAGATCTAAAGAGTTTCTGTTAAAGGAGCAGGGGCAATAAGGCCCTTATTTGGCCCAAATATTACTGCAAATTTAAACATTATCATACATATTCTTAAATTTGTCCTAACTAGACTAAGGTACAAGGTATTCAGAAAATAAAAACAAATTTCTCATTTAACGAGTTACCATGTCAACAAACCATGACAAAATTTGTTTATTTTGTAAAATTTCATGATTTTCATCAAATTTTAAGTACATTTTAGATTAGCAAACTATGTGCGCACCCAAGAAACAACTTTATATTTGGTGAGATTATGACAATAGTTATAATAAAGCTTCTCTTAAAATGTTTTGTTGTTTCTTGGCTGCGCACGATGTTTCCATAATGGAAATAACAATGGAAAACTGCATAAATTCTGTATTTTTCATCATTTTCATGAAAACGATACATATTATGATGTAATTGTGATGTCATCAGATAAATAATCTTAAGTTTTTCATTTATATTTCTTGGCTCTATGCATTTCCAAACATTATGTGCCAATTTGAAATAGTTTTCAAACATTATGTTTTCTTGGGCCAAAACCAGGCCTTTAATGCCCCTACTCCTTTATTCTCAACTTTTTCAAACACAACACGATTTAATGATTGACATATTGTATCAACATTTGGCCACTTTAGAAGGTTTATATTGCCCTTTGGATGTTTTTTAGCTATATGCGTCATAATATGTTGCTGCACCATTGACTTATAATCAACATCTTCATTTATTCATATGATCAAAAACCATATCATATGACCTTTATTGTTCATTTTTATGTTGTTATTTGGAGGAAATGTGTTTCTGTAATCATTAAACAGATCTGAAATTACTGTACATTTTGAGAAATGAGAAAACATAAAAGTGTAAATGAGTATTCATTGAAAACTTCACATTTTAAACAAATTTATTTGTACTACCATTTCAAAATTAACATTTATTTATCAAATAATGTTCTTTCTGCAGACAGAAAGGGATGCAAAAAATTAACAGTTTTACTGGAACTTTTTTTAAAATATCTGAGAAACCTAACAAACAAAGATTTTTTTCATCACTTTTAGTATATACAGACACAACATATTATAGCCTTCTCTATTGTACAGTGACAGTTGAGCAACAACATGATTTGTCAGTGTTCTTAAATGTCTATTTAAAGTAATCAAAATTTAAATTTGTAGAGAGTTTAAAAGAATAATATTATTTTATCAAATTATGAACTTTTATAAAACCTTAAATGGACTGACATATTTTTCTTTGATTCTGTGTTAGGAAGAACATTTTTTTGTGTTTTCTAATGATTGCAGTTTTATGGTTTACTCATTTCACGAATTGCACATTAGTTCAAAATCAAATGTATGATATTAATGCCTGTGAATAGTAACTTTAAGTGTTATTAGTTGTCTTTTTATGACAGGGATTTATGCTTGCCTTTGATAATAAAAACATGAAACTTTTCTTCGTAAATTTATTTAACTTTGAGTAATATGAGGCACAACATCCTTTGATGCAGTAGTTTTATATTTTTATTAAAACTAAAGTTAAATCTGTTTAAACTTAAATAAACCATTAAAATTATTCTAGTGCTATTTTTCCAAAATGACATTTCAAAAATAAAAATAAAATTGGTATATGTTAGGCCCAACTGGCTCATAGGACCAGCATGAGCTATTTGCACTACTTTTGTATGAGCTGACCTTCCATCCTTAAGATATATATGTTCACCATTGCCTTTGATACAACTGCACAAATATGAATTTAAACCATACTTGAAAGGAATTATAGAAAAAGTTTATTATTTTGTTTTTATAGGACATAAACAAATCCACTAGAGGCAATTGGTGATTCTGACTGGAACAAAGCAACTTTTTAAACTGTTTAAAAAAACACCAAGGTTACCTACTTTTGATAAGAAAAAATTATCCTCCTAGAGAAATATCTTTACAGTAAACATTATGATTATAAGTCACTTTGAATCTAAAAACGGAATGCAATGTTAGACTAAATCTAGGTCAGTGAAGCATAATATGAAGGTTAAAGTGACCTAATTCTGGTAGGACCCTGTGAATTCTACTTGTTGCATCCTTACAGAAAGTTTGATTGAAGGTCACTCAGTATTTGAATACTATACTGAACATAACCAGAGTCATTGACACATAAAATGACATTTTAATGGGAAGCTGCTATACTTCCTAAAAGCATAGTTATGCCTTGTTATACAATTATGGATCCATTGGTAATTAGAATTGAAATCATGGTTCAAACCTTATTCAAAGTCACTGAATGGTAAAATATAGGTCAGTATGGCCTAATTTTAAACCAAGCTATGATTGTAAATCATTTGTATGTGAGAATTAACTGTTGACTTCAAAGTGAACTACAGTTAAAGAAGCTTGAATTGAAAGGCAAAGTGAAGTAACTTTAGTAGGAGGCAAATGTGCTCGGATGGATTCCTTCATCTAGTTACATAACTATAGGTAACTTAGTATCCTAGAACTAAATGTTGACACAAAACTTAACCAAAGTCACTGAAACGAGAAAAGTGGTGGGAATAACCAAATTTTGGTAAGAAATTGTTCATCTCCCATTAACATATTCTTACATCTGTTTTTTTTTTTTTTATTAGACTGATATGAAAGTAGGTCCATATATATCTAAAAAAAAATTCTCATTTGATTTGTTTTACATTTGTCATTTTGGGCTTTTTATAGCTGTTTATGCAGTTTTGATCATTGTTGAAGGCTGTACAATGACCTATAGTTGCAAACTTCTACCTCATACTGTCTCTGGTGGAGAGTTGTCCCGTTGGCAATCATACCAAATTTTATTTTTATATTGTCTCGGATGTAAACCTTTGCAAAAGTCACTCTTAAAAGTGTGAAATGCAAGACAGAAAAAATCTAAACTTGGTAGGAGACTGGTAAAAATGTTGAAAAACAAATATTTAGCCTAAAAATTATGTCATTCAAAACTATACAGGAACTTGGTGGCCGAGTGGTTTGTAGTTCATCCACAGTGATCATTAGCCAGTCAACACTGAGGTTGTGAGCTCAAAACCCCTTGTGGCAAGATACTTCCAACTTGTATCTTAAAGTCGAGGTACAGAAAATGGCCTGTGTAACAGATTTTGGTAAAATTTGCTTACAACTTTGGCTCAATGAACTATAACTGAAAATAAAAAAAAATAGTGCATAAATCATCATAGGGTTACGGTGAGACCAATTTCTTTTTATGGTATGAATCATTCAAACTGGAGTTCTAGGTGAAAAATACCACAAAGCATAGACAGAAAAGAAGGTAACAGATTTTTAAATACACCAAAAACAAAGTTAGTGACCCTATGATTATTTGTCATCATCAAACAGAATTTATGTATCAATAACATATTAATTTTTTTTTAGAAAATTCTATGGATTTGTTATTGGAGATTTGATGATTATCTAAGACAAAGGATTGCCAGTTTTCCTGCCTAAAGCTAAGGTTGGTGGTTCTCCACGGATACTCTGGCTTCCTCCACCATTCAAGCTGGCCGCCATGATATAGCCAATATTGCTGAAAGTGGTGTTAAAGACCAACAATCAATCAAAACTATATGAATCCCGAAAGTAAAGAAAAGGCTCCACGGAACCTGACTTGATATAAAAAGAAGATGTGGTATGATTGCTTATGAGACAACTCACCATAATAGACCAAATGACACAGAAATTAACAACAATAGGTCACCCTACGGCCTTCAACAATGAGCAAAGCCCAAACCGCATAGTCAGCTATAAAAGACCCCCAAATGACAAATGTAAAACAATTCAAACGAGAAAACTAACGGCCTAATTTATGTACAAAATAATGAACAAAAAACAAATATGTAACAAAGCAACAAACGACAACCACTGAATTACAGGTTCCTGACTTGGGACAGGCGCATACAGAATTTGGCGGGTTAAACTAGTTTGAAGGCGCCGACCCTCCCCTAACCTGGGACAGTGGTGTAACAGTACAACATAAGAACAAACTATAAAAATCAGTTGAAATAGGCTGAACTCATCAGATGGATACAGATAGAAATACATCTAACAAAAACATAAAGTGGATGTGGATGGGTACTTGTACATCCCAACAACAAAAAGACAGTTAGCACAGATCTGAGAGTACTCGCAGTTACTGACAGCTAGTTCAAAGTAAATAACAACTAATAAAAAAATCTTGCATCTAAGACTAAATCTGCATTACTTTGGTTGAAAAGAAATTTAACAATACATGTAGTAACAAGTGGCTTGTAGAGTGTCTTTAAATCATTAATCAAGAATTTCTCCTTGTAGTAAGAGAGGGGAAGTTTTTTAAAAATCTGCTCTTCAAAACATTAAACTGGAATTTTTTCTGTAACCAGTATTCAAATCATCAAGTTAAAACGAGAGATTCAGTTTTAAATTTTTATTTCGCATATAAAAATACCAATAATTATATTATAATATCACAGAATCGACACACTCCATCTGGCAGTTCTTTATACAAAAATAAATTACAGCACTAACAATTCTATTTCAGCCTATCTCCAAAATCTATTAATCTATGTGCCCATTAGAATTATTATGTATAAAACTAAATTTACAATTAACATATATATGTCTCTTCATATTGGTCAGATTTAAACAAGAGTAAAAACTTCACAACTAAATAGTTATTTTCAATAATAAACTAGAAGTAAAAAAATTAAACTGAATTAAAATAGTTCTTTTATTTTGTTCCTTTTTTCATAACCATGATGTATTACAACTTCTATAAACACTGATATAAAATAAAAGATTAATGAAAAACCATCAAAGGTTAATATCATTTCCAAAAATCAATATACATGTATTACAAATATTATTTCAGGCAAGATATAAAAGCATATCTTAATCAAATTAATAAATAACATTTATGATACAACTTTACAAGCTTCTAGTTTCTCTAACATGTCAATTGACCAAACCAAACCAAAAAAAACTGGTAAAGGCTCCTTTGTGAAATATACATATCAGGTATGCTAAATGTTATATATTCTGTGAAAACAAGAAAAACTTCTTCATTTTCTAATTAGACTTTGATATTAGCAGTACATTTCTAAAGAAATATTTGTCCTACATGTATCTATATTATTTTTCTCTCCTCGTTATATGCGTCACAATGTGGCAACCCTTATCTGATTGGTCATGAGCTCTGCTTCTTCTGTAGTTGTTTCTTTCTCATGTTTTCTTGAAGCTTCTACAATTGAAATAAGATATATTATCAAACTCATTTTCATATCCCACAAATGATTTAATTTTTGTATTCACATATGAATATAAATCAAACAACTTTGAGACAAATCTATAATAAGATAACAGCTATATTAGTTGAACTATATCTGTTGGTTTGTAGCTTAGTTAAAAGAAAGTATCAAAGTTTACTAGACTATAAAAAATGCTCAAAAACTAAATTTACATGTCTCTTATACACAGGTAATACGCTTTGTACTGACTGCCATTTCAAAGTCTTTTTTGCAATATTTCTTTCCATAACACAGATTGAACAACATTCTGACTCTAAGTAGATTTAATTTTGCATACCGTTTCATTTAAACTATATTTTGGATTTGAAGCAACCTTGAAATTTCAAAAAATCATGAATAAAATATTCATAAATTTAAGGAGGATTTAGTGTTGAACATCTGTTAAAGGGGCATAACTTCTGAAAAGTATAAGCCGCCATAGAGAAATCTGATTGCAACCCAGGAAATGTGTTACAATGTTCAAGCAGCAAGATGGTGAGAGTTGCTGATGTGAATTAGTATCCAATTAATCATTACATAAATTGTGATTATATTCGGTCAAGTGGCTTTAAATATGCTAATGTATTAGAAAAACATTTGTAGATGAATGATAGAAGGGAGTGGATGCTAAGTGATGGTACTACCTTGAATAGTCTTTGATAAGGTGGGCTAACAATGACATATATTTAGTATAGTCCAGCACATAAGATAGGTTGGAAGTCATGCTTTTTTCTCTTGTGTGATTATATTTGCAAAGATCCAATAATAAAAAAAGCAAGGATGTATATTTTTATTAAGATATTGTTTCTGCAAATTGAAAATTTAATGCTGAAAGTCTTAAAATATATATAAAAATATATACACAAAACTTGTTATTTGTTCAACTCCTTATTTTAGCTACTAATATCCAGAAATAACTCTCTGAATGCAAACAAAATGTTTCCTTAAGGTGGTACCAAACACCTTGACTAAAATTAATTTGACTCGTTTAATTTTTATGAAAGTTTTGACAAAATATTTACTTTGACCCTTTGACAAAAATATAAAAATTTCAAACTTGAACCACACACTTTATCGGAAAAATTTCATTGGATATATAGCAGTTTGACAAACACTAATTTTGATCATTGAGAAGCTTAATATTTCCTTAACAATATACTGTGATTAAAACGTTCAGCTGATTTTTACAGAGTAATTTCCCTGTAGTGTTATGTACCACCTTAAGTAATATCATAAATTGAGGTAACGTCTTGAGGAATATGATGTTATCAGACATAAAAATATTGATTTTTAAAATCTCATAACTTTTTTCCACAGATCCATATCCTTACTATAAGATGTATGTAAAATATACTAAGCACAAAAGAGAGGATACACTTTAATTTGTTTAATGATAAATGTTCAGTTGTTGAAAAGTAAATATCATTGATTGATACTTTTTGCATGGCTTTTGGTTATAAAATCAAAATTGTACACTTTGGCTAAAAAATTGTGAAACAAGGTGATTGACAATACAGCATTTCTATTTATTGTCTTTCTTGCCAAAAAGTTGATAAAATGGACAAATGACTTAAATGGCCAGGTTGCAAAGAAAATTTCTTAACCAACCTACAACGAGCATTCAAATATATTGAAATATATAATTGGAAAACTGGGGAAATAAAATCATAAAACAACTCCATTATATCTGGAAAAATTTGAAAAGAGTTCCTTATATAAATAATTCCGTAATAGCAAGTGTTCAACCTTGTTTAAGCAAGTCAAAAAAGGACATAAAATGCAAAATTGTTGTTAACTAAATTTTGTTTTTTTCAAAATGTGATTTTTTGTACTTATTAAAGTTGGTTTTGGTTTTGGTTAAATCTTGTATCAGATCTTGTAACTGCACGTTTTATGAGTGGGTTAATTGACACACCTATATAGCAAAGTGTGACAATTAGGTCAAGGAACTGTAAATGGGCTATATATGTAACACTCAGAAACGTGTCCTTCCCCCCAAACGTGTCTGATTCCCCCAAACGTGTCCACATAACGTCACTGAACTGCAAAACATGTCTAGTTGTAAAAGGGCGCCAAAGCGTGTCATTTGTATAAACGCCCAAACGTGTCCAATTTTTTTATTAAACACCCAAACGTGTCCATATCAAGCTTAATTGTTTTCTTTTACTGGAACTATCATTCGTGTCCATATTATAAATACATAGTTTATTTGGTTATTGCTTTTTCATTAACGTATAATCATTTTACTATTTCATTAAAAAATAGAAATACATTACTTTAGGTCTTTTTTAAACTGGCAGTCTAACCTGGGTAAAAGTGGGGGCGTCAGTTTCGGCTACGTTGGATCCAGGCTCAGTTAAATTGTAGATATTAAATTAGATACCTCTATGTCCCATTCTCTGTGCATTAAAACCTTTGTAGCATTTCACTCTTTCATGGTGCCATCAGTTGTATATTGGAAGGCAACGTTTTTTTTAAAAATTTCCACAACTTTTATTTAAAACGGCCTCTATTACATAACAGAGAATGAAGTAGTTTCTTACTGAAGTCATTAAAAAATTGGTCTTTACTCGCTCTTAATTTTTTTAGATTAAAATCCCAACTAGTGTTAATCCCGAATAACCGTAAAAATTTAGGCCCAATCCTAAATGTCCGGTATGATGATAGAACTTATCTACAGTATTTATTGTTCACATGATGTCGTTCAAATAATGCATGACATATTTGGCACTGGACGTTATGTCTCTTGTTCGTGTGTCTTTAGTGATGCTCGAAACCTACAATTTATTAAAAAAAAACCTGATAACCATGCAGTTTATAATTTGAAGAGCTTTTAAAATATCAGAACTGTTGAAAAAATGGAAGTCAATTCTGCTGATGTGCAATATTTGGATTAATATAAAAGGCATCATCGGAGTTTATTAGTAAAAAATAATTTACATAGTAAATGATTATTTCAACTGTACTAGAATTATTTGTATGTTCGCTCTAAATGAGCATGAAATACTTGCACTGGACAAGTAATTTCAGTCAAAAGTTAGTTCATACCGGTATGTTACAGATTAAATTTGCAATTATGATAATCATTAACAACCAGTATTGAACAAACTAATGCTAATAAATGACCACTTAGTCAACTGTGTCCCCCATCGTAGAATTGCCGTAAACGTTATTGATTTCATTTAGAACATACATGTATTAGCTCTAAAAGACGTGAGACGTTCTGGCGTTTTACAGTGGACACGTTTTGGCGAATAACAATTATCGGACACGTTTGGGGGTTATGAAATTGGACACGTTTGGGCGATATCAACTTTTAAGGACACGTTTGGGGGAAATAGACACGTTTGGGGGAAATAGACACGTTTGGGGGAATCTGACACGTTTGGGGGGATGGACACGTTTGGGAGTGTTACATATATATATATGTCAGTCACTGGACCATGACTTAGGGGGAAGGGCCTCAAAATAGTCATCAAACTGAAATGTACTGACAGTAATAAATAGTCATCAAACTGAAATGTACTGACAGTAATGCAACTTCATACAAAATATCATTGATTTATCACAAGTAGTTCTTATCAAACTAACTTTGGCAGAAAACTTAAAACCTATGACAGGGGCATAAAAATTGTAAAAGTCTTATAACCCCCTTATGGTCTAATCAATATAGTGGTATATTATGGTCAACAACACATGATCCCAAACATTCCTATTAAATATGATAGCTTTGTGTAAAATGGACTCAGAGGTGTTGTATTCACAAGGTGTCATTGTTACAATACTAAAAAATGGTAAAAGTTCTATACTCAGACCTGTCAAGATTGTAAAAAAAAAAAAAAAAGGAGTGCACAATTTCTCGCCCGCTTTACTTTTCATGATTTATCTTATGTTGATAGTCCTTAAGATAAAGTTTTAATACAAGTATCACATAAACTTGACATTATCAATGATCCATGAAAATGAGGTCAAGGTCAGTTGAACCCTGCAAGACTGCAAAAAGTATAGTTGACCTATTGCTTATAGAATCTTATAAAAAGACCTTACTACTGAAACTTAACATTGACCAATGAACCATAAAAATGAGGTCAAGGACAGATGATACCTGCCAGACAAACATGTACACCTTAAAATCATTCCATTCACCAAATATAGTTGACCTGCTTATAGTATTAGTAAAAACAGACCAAAACACAAAAACTTAACATTGACCAATGAACCGTGAAAATAAGGTCAAGGTCAGATGAAACCAGCCTGACTAGCATGTACACCAGACAATCATACCAGGTTGTAAATACAGCTGTTTCTCAAACCACGCCTCTTTTGGGGAGATATATAATATTCATAGATATTTCGTTTTGTTTACGTACTGGTTCCCAGATATGATCTCTATGTTTCATCTCATAGAGACATAACTTGGGAATGTTACCAGTATAAAAACATATTGTTGCGGTGAAAATTGAATTCTGAAGTAGGCACAAAGTGAAGGTAGGGGTAGTACACAATTTTAGTATAAGTTTAAACTCTAACAAGTTCGGGGCATATAAATGTTGAAAATATGCCGCACAGCCCCATGTTTTGACTTTTGAATTAAATAGTAGTGCATATCAACTTTCCATTCTAGGATATAATTTTTTACGACACTTCATAGTAAAAGTGGCACAGTTTTAGCCATAAAGGGAGTTCCTATGGGAAATTGCATTGTCTATATTTACAGAAATGCAACCTCCATACACCAAATATACCATAGTTGACCTACTGCTTACAGTTCTGAGGAACAGACCTTACTTTTGAAACTTAACATTGACCAATGAACCATGAACTGAGGTCGAGGTCAGGTGAACACTGTCAGACAGACATGTAGGCCTTGCAATAGAACCCATATACCAAATATAGTTATCCAATTACTGATAATAAGTGAGAGGTTCACATATCAAAAACACTAAACTTTTTAGTGTCACTGAACCATGAAAATGAGGTCAAAGACAACAAAAAAATGACAGACAGAAAGTTTGTAACATAAAGCATCTGCATACATGGTATGAAGACTCCAGATCTTCTAGCCTCTGAAATGTAAAGCTTAATACAAATAGTGTACTCCCCCAGATTGCAATCCTTATGTCTCGCATTCTAAGACTTTGTCAGAGGCGAGACAAAAAAGGCACGGTCAACAGAATATGGCAATTCCTACTAAGTATGAAAGCTTTCTGTCAAACAGTCTCACAGTATTGATGTGTTTCAGACAAACAGACAGACAGATAGGCCACAGTCCAGCTTGGGACAAAATCCTTTATATTTCCAACAAACAGTTTAAAAGTGTATCCTTTCACTTCTTGTTTAGTATATTTATATCAGCTATTTACTTAAGACTTATTCTGAAAACTACAGAGAGACCTATTATCTCAACAAACATTTAATTATACATGTATATAAACTACAATTAACTTAATATCTACCTGATACTATTACCTGTTTTAGATCATTTGGTTGTAGTATACAAAAGTATTTTCTTACAAACTAAATCAACAAGGAATTTTGTAATTTTTTAAACATTTTTCACAGGAAAACATGAAGAGTCCTTTTCTTTCACATTATTTTTAATAACATTTATAAGCATAAGCAACACATTTCACAATACATTTATGAAATTTCTATAACATATAGTAGGCAATAATTTCATCTGAAAAAAAATAAAAAAGACAATTTTTGTTTTTGATTGTTTCAATGAACTATTAATAGTCTTTGGTCAAAATTAATGCTCACTTTTTAATCAGTCTGAAACATGTGTAGAACTAGACCACAAAAATTTTAATAATTGAGATGACTTGGACTTCTTTCAAGCTAATTGACCAAGACTGTCAGTGTTGCCCTATTCAAACTCTTCGAGATAAATGTTAACTATTCAGATTATCTAATGATGGATTTTGAGAGTTCACTGTTTATGTAACCAATTACCATATATATATTAATCTGATCTTAACCCCTTTATGCACTACAACCAACTATTAAACTTCAACACTTAACAAACATTTAGTTATATGTAGAAAACACACACACACATGTGTAAAAACAACACTATAATATGATACAAATAAATGTGACAGTTTTAAAGTACCAGAATATTAGTGTACTCACACAATGGTATCTCACTCCTGTTAGCGAGTAAAATGATCAGTTATTAGGCTGGTTTTATATGGTTTATCATGATTTATGGATTGATGAAACATGAAAAAATGCAAAATTGAGTTTTCTAGTGAATGATATCTACTTTCTATCAAATACAGGCTAATGAGTGAAAAAGTTTGTGTCTTAAAATATCATATCTCATCCACTTAATCCAAAATAAATAGTTTTGCAAAATATCTTCCTAAATGTATGGCAAAGACATAGACTACGATAAAAAAACAAAAATTTTTGTAAAGAGTAATTCTGGAAGTTTTGCTTATTCAATTGAAATAAAAAACCGATCTAAATACATTAATAGAAATTAGCAAAATTATGAAAAATATATTTTGACAAAGCAAAAGATTTTTATTTTTGTCTTTGCAAATTAACACTGCAACATACTTTATCACAAGTAGACTATTCAACAAGTTTGGTTTTAAGGAGAATTTTACACAATGCATATCTGTAGAATCAATAAGGAAGATCCTTTAAGAATGAGATTTTTTGTTTATTTGCATTTCTGTGTCAATAATGATATGTGTTTCATGCATTATATTGTGTTTACAGCTATAATCCAAAGAACAAAGAGGGTATGGTATAGGATAATAGGACTTTAAATCATACACCCAATGTATAATCAGGGAAAGTCCTTCATAGGAAATAAATTCAGTAGAAAACCGTCACCTTGAAACAGGAATTTTTGACGTATATTTGGAAACCTGAAATTCATGAAGTAAATATGAATGCAAATACTAAGCAATGAATGACTAATGACTGAGTATAGTTAATGATTATTTTACTGTACGAGACTGCTTACTCAAGATGTGAAGATATTAACCATTATTAGTAGCATTTAATAGTCACAACTCTGATAAAATTAGTCTTTATCATTTCAACAATGATTTATATTAATTTTCCTATGTTACTGACAACATCTTGAGTACAACACATGTTGGTTTCTGATGTCACTTATTTGTAATCAATCATAAATTCATAAAACGGAGAAATATTATTTCACCAATAAGTATCAAGGGAGACAATTTACAAAATGCTCTGCAAGGATTAATTGTATCCTCTCTGAATTGTTACTTTATAATGGGTAGATACGACACTGTTTCTTAATTCATTTATCTTTTATTATGTTTATTGCGAACCCAATGAAAGTTTTCCACAGTGCCATCTCTATCTTGACCAGGTATTTAAACTTTTGCAAGTTCACCTGTCCTATTGAATAAATACAATAGCTATTGTTCTCTGTGTAGTTTATTCTCTGGGACCTTTAAATTTCTTCTAAGAGAAATCTATCATTCATTGATTAAATTACCTGAGTAAAAAAAAATTCTTACATGTAGACAAAAATACTTTTTTTATACTCATTAATTGCGTGTGATGATGTAGTTATTCAATATTAATAATATATTTTCATTCAGTTTAATATAAACATTGATTCAATCATAAAAAGTTGATTTCTGACAAAACTTTCAACATTGTTCCTTTTAAAAAAAATTTGTTTGACATGAATAAGAACTTGAAAATAATGATGTTTCAAATTAAGATCTTCTTAAATGTATTTTATAACCAAACAAAAAAAAAAATCAAATTTCAATAGAAACATTGATAAAACTTTTTTTAGAAATCAACTTTTTATGATTGAATCAATGTTTATATTAAACTGAATGAAAATATATTATTAATATTGAATAAATACATCATCACACGCAATTAATGAGTATAAAAAAAGTATTTTTGTCTACATGTAAGAAATTTTTTTTACTCAGGTAATTTAATCAATGAATGATAGATTTCTCTTAGAAGAAATTTAAAGGTCCCAGAGAATAAACTACACAGAGAACAATAGCTATTGTATTTATTCAATAGGACAGGTGAACTTGCAAAAGTTTAAATACCTGGTCAAGATAGAGATGGCACTGTGGAAAACTTTCATTGGGTTCGCAATAACTTTGGGGAGACCAAACTGTCCCCCCTTTCACCTTAAGACAAAAACTAGTTTTGTTATATATTTACTGTAAAAATTATTAAATAAAAAAAATGTTTCTCATTATTTTAAATATAACCCTGTTTTTTTCTCATGTAACCAACATGTGCTGTATCTAGTTTAATGTTTTGACACAGTTAAGAGTTATCTTTCTTGGTACATACTGCTGTCTTTGGGGCATTGATAGTAAACAGCTGAATCATTCTCTGTGTAATACATCAAAGGTTGTTTACAAAATGTAGTGAGATAAAAACAAAATACAATAAAGTGGACAACACGCTTGACTGGCCAGTACTTAAAGAATATATCCCTCAACAAATAAAAACAAACTCCTTTCTCTTCTCTGTTTCAGTAGCAAGGTTTTAATCAAATATATAACTCAAAGACAGACCCCTTATTTGCCACAATTCTAAAAATCTATAAAACAAGAATGTGTCCATAGGACACTATGCCCCTTTATGCTATCACATTTGCAACTTCAGTCAAAACCCTAATGAGGCATACATTTTAAAAAATGCGCACTCAGAGTCAGTAAAGTGACAACTACTTCATGGTAAACGACTTCTTTAACCTAAAACTAAACCTAATACTGGTCAGAACCAACAGACATACAGACTGTTAAACGATACAGTCCCCAACACTTTGATTTGTGGGCAGGAAATAAAAAGAACATAAACCCTGGTATCGAACATTCCAACCAATTTTTATAAAACATGAGTGATAATTGATATCAACAAAAGTCCAGTCCTAGTAATGGATTTCTAAATTCAACCATTGTTTCCATTCATGCAATATAAAAACAATACTGGATGCACATTGCAAATCAAGTAGGCAACCATTTAAAAACTGAGAATTACAATTAGGTTTACATGAAAAACAAGGAATTTCTACCTAATGAAAAACTAATAAAAACTGTGCACATCACAATGCAATATACATACTTTATTTGAACTAGTAAATGAACACCTCTTAGAAAACTTCACTTCCTTCTATGTAAATATAAAAATAAATTGGCAAACTTATCTTTTATTTCTTTTTGAACCTATTCTTCAACAAAAGGAGCAAGTAAGAGTTGACAGATTATAACTTCAAACATGATGAGCTGACAAAAGTACTAAACAAACAAAACTAAAAAAAAACATGATAAGATTTGTTTAATGACCTCATTCATATTTTTAACTTTGAAAGCCAATTCTTACCTTTATGACTTTTTGGATCTATCTAGTTTATTCACTGACCTATATCAATAGGGGTTCCTTCAAAGATATGTCTCTAAATTACTGGCCAGTCATGCTAAATCTTTTAAACACTATTCCACAAATAAGAATAATTTTGATCTGTTCATTGAACATATTCACATTTGTTTAAAGGTTGGTGAAAAAAAAAAATATGAAATCATCTATTTGTTAATTTTTTTCTTGCATATGATACACAATTTAGAACCTTAAGTCCAAACTTTTCTTAAATGTGGAATGATGGTGAGTTTTTGCACTATCCTTGCATTGCTCTTTTATTTACAGGTATGGTTTACAGACAACCTGTGACAGGAATATACAAATATGTATTCACTTACAAATAATCTTGATGGCTGTGTATAAAATGAAAATAATTCAAGCTAAATATCAGAAAAGCTTTAAATCAAATCATTTTCTAAAGTAATATACACACTAGCAGACAAAAAATATGCAAATAAAACTGCAAGACACAAAGCTTTTGATTTTATGTCTATTCTAACCACTGAGTTAATATGAAATCCATATCACAAATGAGATTTGCAAATTCCCAGAGAAATTAAGAGATGGATTGTGAGTGTTTCAAAGGTTCCAGAAACTGTTTTCATGGAATTAATCTATTAAATTACTAAATTTAGCAATTTTGATACAGAAATTGAGATCAATTTATTTCTAGTTTTTTTCTTCATTTACTTATAGACAACTTTCTATTAATCTATCTTAATTAGAGTAATATATTTTACAAATACAGATAATCTTTTCAAACAAAATTTTTAAAACTTATATAAGGAAGGATATTCATAAATTATCGATGGTTTTACAAACAAGAGGGTGTTTCTCAGCTACAATCTCATAGGAGTGCGACAGCCCTAAGGTGACATGTGGCCAAGAAACATACTCAAGTTTGAAAAACCATCGATAATTTATGAATATCTTTCCTTATATAAGTTTTGAAAATTTTATTTAAAAAGATTGAAGATATATAAACCCATACATCTATGGATAGATCAATATAAATTTGTATATATTTTAACAATATGTTTATTGATATTTTTCCTACGACGTCATTGATGTTTACATTGACAATGGCACATGCGCCCTTAGTTTCTTTTGATAATTTTCTACATGATATGAAAAATCATCACAAAAAAAGGATCAAAGGAAAAATACACAAAATAACGCTGACTCAAATTATTCAGTTTTCATAAATGTATATTTTTGCAATATAGTAAAGTTTAGCAAGAAAACAAGTATGGTGACCCCATTTTTTCTGAAAACATTTATAAAAATAACAGGATGTGGCATGATTGCCAATGAGACAACTCTCCACTTGAGAACAAATGACATAGAAGTTATCAACTATCGGTCACTGTATGGTCTTCAACAATGAGCAAAACCCATACCGCATAGTAAATCTTAATCACATCCAATATTAAAATAATTATTATGACAGTTTCTAGAATCCAAACTAAATGAAAATTTAAAAGCTATGTGGGACAAATGAACATCACATGTTCTTTAAGAAATATTAGTAATTCCCTAAAGGAAAGAATATAATGCAACAAGGTTGAATTTTAACTATACATCACTTGATTATATAGCTTTACATTGTATATAAATCTCTTTGATGTAAAAAGAAAATAAAGAGCTGCACCATGAGCACATGATACGCCTGTAGCCCTCTTAGCTTGTCTTTATGCTTTAAATGAATGTATATGATCAACTAGAAGTATGTGATTTTCAAAGATTTTTCAAAGAATACTGTTCCATAACTCCACAATGTCATATAAAAAAAAACAAACAAAATGGAGCTTATTTCAATAGATATAAACAAGTCACCAAAGTTTCATGAAACCTGTTCAAAGTGTTTTTGAGTTATTGACCGAAAACCTTTTATATGAATAAAATCCAAAAACTCCAGAATGTAAAATTAGAAATTTTTAAAAATCGAAAGGGAACTTATGTCAATATATATAAACAATTCACCAAAGTTTCGTGAAAATTGCTCTAAGTATTTTTGAGTTATAGTCAGAAAACTGGACAAAAACCATTTTATGAATAAAATCCCATAACTCGGAATCGTATATAATCTAAAATTTATAAAAATTGAAAGGGAGCTTATGTCAATAGATATAAACAATTCACCAAAGTTTCATAAAAAGTGGTGAAAGCGCTTTTGAGTTATTGTCCGAAGTGTTGACAACGGACAGAAGGATGGACAGATGGGCAAGAGGTATACCATAATACATCCCCTCTTAGACGGGCGTAAAAAAACTATAAATAGGATTTATAATTAAACTCAGTGGTTAAATGAAAATTTCTCACCAATTTGTTTGCTATTAACTTTGTTTGCAATCTTAAGAAGCTGATTTTACTATTCTACTCAAGTCTTAGATACAAACCTTTTGGAATTCTTTGACTTTATCTCTACTAGCTGCAGCCCTTTTTTGTTTTTCCTCTGTTGTCTCTCGACTCTTTGGACTCTTCTTTTTCTCCTCATTTGGGGTTTCCTCAGGTTCCTCTATACCCAGTCTATTTTGTAATCTAAACAATCGAGGGTTGTATGCCCTATAAGTCAGTAAATCAACAGAAAAAAGACAAAATAAATCCCCAGTTGCAAGTGGAAGATGGAAACTCTGGTTCCCATCATGCCTCAGCTGTGATGCATGGTACAGCCAAATATATGGCCAGTAAAGATTAGATGTTGCTTCTTTCATAAAAAGATGTAATTGCTTTTGTCTTTAAAAAATAGAACTGTTTCTCGTTTACAAAACTTACTGTAGTGAGTATAGCATGGTTATACTATATCTTCAAAACCTAAAAAAAGGATTTCTGTACACTAATTTTCATTGGACACTTTTTAGAATTTGAATATGCAATTATTGTCAATATATTTCAATGCAAAAACTTTGATCATCATTATATTTGTTTGTAATTTTTTAAAAATCAGGTATACTAGTAAGTTTTAGCAAGAGATTTTATTTTAAAGATTCTAAACTTTATCAAATCATCAGTGTTACAAAAAATCTTGCAGGCACTTGAATATAAAGACTTTTGTCAGTATGCTTATAATTATGAATAGGTACTGTGCATTATTGATAATTTAAAAAAAAAAATGTCACTTTTATGTAAAAGCTATTCAACATTCAATCGTGTCTGGCCATATATTCAGCATACCTGACACCACCTGATCAATAGGAACCTTAATCTCACCTACAAATATCAATCATTACATGGTTATCTTGCACCAAACAACCTTGTTGGATAAATAAATGATTGAGAGGAATTGTAAAATATATTCTCTAAACCTGACAAATCCAATAACTGTTATAGATGAATAATTGCAGATCAAATATATAACCATGATTCCATCTGCATGAAAAGTAATGATAGTTTTATGTTTATTTTCAAATATTCATAAAAAAGTTTGAAAATACTCATTTAAGTCTTGGACATACAAACAAGCTAAGTAAATTTCCCTGTTTTTTTTTAATTTTAAATTCATGGTTACAAGTTTGATTCAGCCAAAATCGTTGCTACATTTTTTTTTTAATTTTAAAGTTTTAGAGGACCATGATTTCTATAATTATTTTCCTGGTGAATGATAATACTAAAATTAACAGTATCCAACAAGATTTTCCTGTGCCTTTGGGAATATAAATCAATTTAATTTTTGAATTCTAACTATTATTTTGGAATGTGAAAGTGGGCACACTCAGCCATATTAGAAACTTGGTCACATGACATAGAACATCAGTTAAATGTGTATTGTGAGTCACTGCATTTTTCTTTAAGGTCAAACACTGCACAATTATTTGAGGGTCAACTATATGGGAAAAAATAGGGAAATGGTGTAATTCATGACAAAAACATTACAAAACCTTAAGTAAAGTATGTGTTGTGGTTATTTTCCTCAAAGTCTAATAGTGAGGCCTTTAACATGGATCAATAGCTCACACCTCACTGAGGAAGTTCAAGATGAACCCTAGCACTGGTTTGAGGGAAACTCTTTGCTTAATTTATTTTAAAAAATTTCTCACTTTAACCGTATTACTCAATACTGTATTTGCCAAAATATTAAAGTCTTTAAAGTCTATAGCTACTATTAACAAAGAGACATATCTGACCAGCAAGACTAAAATTGGCAATCAAATGGGTTTGAACAAACTGACCTAAAATTGATGCCCTATCAAGAGTATTTCATCTTCGACTGACCAATTCACTACAATTGCAAAAAACTCAAAGTCAAAGGATTATATCTGTGATGAGAAGATGGATCAATTTTGAAGTGTCTCCAATGATCTAGACCTGTTCCCACAGTTTAGTAGAGACAACTAATTATCTAACACCAACATTGTATGTTAAAATACAAACACATGAAGACAGAGTTGAACTAGTTTTCTGAGTAGCCAAATTCTCCACTTTTTATATAGATCAACGGAAACAAAATTAACAAAATTTATTTAAAAAATGTGCAATAAGAGTCAACATGATTAATCCAATGATATCAATATTACAGATTGTGTTACCATAGCCAACATGTTACATCCAATCCATGTCAAATCTTTACAGGAAGAATTCAACTCATAATTATTAAAAGGTCTCATAATATTTCTACTCAAGAGGCTGTCAAAATGACAGCAAATGGGTTCTCCATACATTAATAAGTTTGTCATTGTTAAAGCAAACAAGGGCCAGCATTCCCGGACAGCATAAGTGGAAACCAATATATATTCATACATGACCAGAAATAACCTATTAACATTTGAAAAGAATCTGTTAAACCTGTTGCTAAAAAAATGCAATGAAACAAAAAACAAATAAACTGTTAACACAGAGATATGTCTCGCCTATTTGTTATTTTGATAATGCAAATGTTGAAATTAAAATAACAATACTTTAACATGTAAGTTATGCAAATATTCAAAGTCAATGAACCAAGACTGAAGGTACAGGGCTAAACAATCTCCATGGAAATGAGATGTGCCAATGCTAATATAAATATATACCAAATACCATTGACTTTTCATAAGTTATTCCCTTTAAACAAACCTAAACACAAACATTGTAAAAGTTTCAAAGTCAATGAACCATGATGAGGGGGTGGGGCTATATAATCTCCATGGAAATGAAACTTGCACATGCCAATACATTCGCATACCAAATATCATTGACTTAACATTAGTGGTTCATCGTAAACTGACCTAATCACAAACTAATACATGTAAACTAGGCAAAAGTTTCAAAGTCAATAGACCATGACTGAGGGGTAAGGACCAAAAATTCTCCATGGAAATGAGATGTTCTAATGCTTATACAACTGCATACCAATTATCATTGACCTTCCACTAATGGTTCCCCTTCAACTGACCTAACCACAAACTAATACATGAAAACTAAGCAAAAGTTTCAAAGTCAACAAGCATTCTGAGAGTATTGCATGGCAATACATAGTCCCCTACTGGTTAAAAATTCATTGTTCTGGAACAATATGCTAACTTGATCTATTACTTGTCGTGGTGTAAACTATATAACAAATATCAAGTCAATATCTTCAAGCATGACGGAAAAAAGTGTGGAAAACTTATTATTTAAGTGAATTTTCTAAGTCCAAGGACCATAGCTCTGCACAAAATCATCAATGGAAATTCAAACTTGATATGTAACTCGTCATTAAAAATTTAAAAACCAATTATCAAATCAATATCTTCAAGCATGACGAAAAAAAGTGAGGAAAACTGATTATTTGAGGGAATTTTCTAAGTCCAAGGACCATAACTCTGCACAAAATCTTCAGACCAGAAAAAAATTCGAACTTGATCTGTAACTTGTCATGATAAAACTATGTACCAATTATCAAATCAATATCCTCAAGCATGAAGAAAAAAAGTGCATATACTAATTATTTAAGTGAATTTTCTAAGTCCAAGGACCATAGCTCTGCACAAAATCATCTGACCGGAACAAAATTTGAACTTGGTCTGTAACTTGTCATGATAAAACTATATACCAATTATCAAATCAATATCTTCAAGCATGACGAAAAAAAGTGTGGAAAACTGATTTGACGGACTGACAGACAGACAGACAGACAGACAGACAGACAGACAGACAGACAGACAGACAGAGTGCAAACCTAAAGTCCCCTTCGACGTCGGTAGGGGACTAATAAACCATGACTGAGGGGGCAGGGCCAAATAATCTCCATGGAAATGAGATATGCCAATGCTTATACAACTGCATACCAAATATCATTGACCTACCAATAGTGGTTCTCCATAAACTGACCTAATCACAAACTAATAAATGTAAATTAAGCAAAGTTTCAAAGTCAATAGACCATGACTGAGGGGGCGGTGCCAAATAATCTCCATGGTAATGAGATGTGCCAATGCTAATACAACTGCATACCAAATATCATTGACCTACCACTAGTGGTTCATCATAAACTAGACCTAATCACAAACTAATACATTGTTGACGCCGCCGCTGCCGGAAACAGCATAGCTATGTCCCTCTTTTTGACTCTGTCAAGGCGAGACAAAAACAATACACCATTTTTCAATCAATCAAGGAAGTAATAACAAAGCAAACAATGTAAATATCAGACTGACCTAAATTTTTTCATGAGAAACAACATAACAAAATTAGAAAGAGATCAGTTGAATGGCTCTGAAGTCATTGTACGGAACTGTTTGGGACCCACCTACCAACTATCTAAAATTATTAACTAGATTCTCTGTAGTCACAGTAGATAATTTTGGCAAATATCGGTACAAAGTTTTGTAATTTGTAAAAAGATTACCTACTAGAATTTTCCAAGTATTAAGGGGGGTACATTAAGTATTGATTAAGAACATGAATGACAATTTCTGCAAGTTGGGCTGGACATTTATTGTGTAAACTATTCTCTCAAACTTACATATTTATTAGTACACCAAAGTTTACTTTCCTATAATCACTTCTGTAAGGATTTTCTTTTAAATTTTAGTTTTGTCTTATAAAAGGGAATTAAGACTTCTTTAAGATGCATGTTTTACTCAAATGGAGTGAAGAAATTATCTGTTAATCCAACCAGATACCACCATAGAACAGTGTAGTTTTTTAAATGATATTTATAATGAACATATGAGGATTCATTAACATAAAATTGTTTAAAGTAAAATCCATATATTTTGTTTTTCTTTCAATAATTGATTTTTTCCAATCTAAAGATATATAATTTGAAATATATTGTAAAACATTTGATTAATACGAATAAAAAAAAGATAAATAGTCGCAACATTAAAAATGTATTTGATATATATGTGGTAAATCAGTTCACATGCATACAATGCTATTTAATTCTTTTTAAATAATCTCAGCAAAGATGTGTTTACATGTATCATTTTACGTATAAATACATATGAAATAGCATACATGTACATGTAGCATGCATCTATCATGCTTTTATATGTTTCAGTCTACAACATCTTTGAATAGTTTAACAAAGTCTCCTCAGAGCAAAAATAGCTAAGACAGATAGAAGCTCTTTTCAGCAGCAGTGATTAAGAAATTTAAAGCTGTAAGTACTCCCTAAATAATAAATTGAAAAAAAAGTCATATCAAATTTGGTTTCTTTTGCTTAAAAATTTTGAATTCTCTCAGTCTTAGAGCATTAAACATTTCTATTGCTAATAATGTCCAAGATCTGCAAATATTAGAAACAAACTCGTTAATTTTTTTCGTGCATTGTTAAGAAAACAACATTAATTTGGAAATATCAACGTTTTGTGAATGTAGGCAAGGCAGGGTGAGGATATTATCAACATTGGCAAGTTGTGCACACTTCACACCAAATAACAGTGGATTAATCAGTGGAAAACATGGGTGATAAAGATAGCACTGGTATTATCATGTAATAAACAAAATGCTCTTATGGTTCAACATTTTGTTTACGAGTCAAAATATCCAGTCTCTGGTTAAACAAATGTAGGTGAGATTTTTCACAAACTTTCTTGTTTTCTATTTTATGTGTTCTCTAATATTAAAAATATGATATTTTTCTTAACATTTGATTTGTAGAAGTAAGTCCACATGATGCTTTGCTAAAAGTTAAGTCTGATGGCATCAACGTATCAAGCAGCTACAATCGAATAACTATATAACAACTGCAGTTTATTTCATTTGCGATATATCAATCAACAAGAAGGAAATTGGTTGAAGACTTTGACCTTTGTCTATATACTTCCCTTTGGTTGACATTATCACAAAAAAATAACATAAATATCTAACAATTTTGGTTGCCAAATTTTACCTTTTCAAAATTTGCATGGTTTTTACCAGAAAACAAGAACGTTTGTGACTTAGCTGCAACTTCCACTTACAAGCCCATATCCCACACACGAAATGCTTCCACCCAAAATTACAATAGCTTATACATCTGATATATATAGCAGAAATCTCAATAAAGGAAATAGTTGCCACAGAAAACTCAAAGGAAAGAATCAATATTATGTTCAATAATAGTTCAACTGAAGCCATACCTAAAGTTATACTAAACACCATATTTAAGAAGTATGCTTACATATTTTTCCTGATAATTTAGAGAACTATTGTCAAGCAGTTTTTGCAGTACTTTTTGGATCAATGAGGAACTGATACAATGTTAATTTGGTTTTCCTAAACATAACCCTATAAACAAATATCTCACAGATATATTACTATTAACTCATTAACAAATATCTCACAGATATATTACTATTAACTCATTTTAAATGCCAATATTGTATCAGATTTTTGTAGTTCCCTCTCCAAAGCATATATAAATTATCTGTGGAATAATTGATATGTAAATACAGTTCTTATATGATGTTTAATCAATTTCACATTTTTTTAAACAACAATATGTTTTTCTGAATTATTTTTTGTCTATTCTGTATGAACAATTTGAAAAAAAAAATTTTGTTTTTTGTTCTAAACAGGTCAATGTATAACTTTATCAAAATTTCTAATCTATAACTAAAATTTCTAGCTCACAGAAGCAAAAGCTTATCTTGTGAATTTCCTTCTTAAGTAGCAATCTATATCAGAAATGGTGATAAGCCCACCCAAAACATGATAAATGAAGCATTGAAATTTGATCATTCCATTTTATATAGCCAATGATAATGATGAATATATATTACAACATAAGATTATGTTTATTTGTACTGCAACTATCTTTATCCACAAGGTTCCAGTGAATTATTTTCAATGCATAATTATTTTTGTTTGTTTCCCTAAACAATAGATAGCACTTAGATTATTAGGTACACAATGAGAAAGCACTGACAAATACTGGAACCATTGTAAATAAAGAGTACAGTACATGAATACAGTTACCATGCACCAATGTATATGATTGGATATGTTTTACCTCATACGACGTTCATAAGCTTCATCCTCTTCACTTCTGGAACTTGGTTTAGGGAATTCTGTAACTCCATTTGGAAAATGAGAAGATTGCTTTGGTGGTGGAGGAGGCCCTGAAATATGTAATAATTGGTAAGGACATTAAATTTTCTCTATTTTTTTCAATTTTTTTTTTTCCTTTTACTGAGACATACCTATTCTTGTATTGAGACACCTTATTTTTTTAAGTTGATAAGAACATATCATTTCACAATGGTATCATTTTGTGCTATCACTGTCAGGTCAATGATTGATAGGAATTGTTTTCCTCTAGTAACATAGTGTATAGCCCTCACCAAATGTACAGGAAAAACAGGAAACAAACCTGTGACAGGATAAACTATCGACGTACATTTCTCTTTGAAAAGCATACTGTTCTATTTACAGTTGAAATTGCAAACTAAATGAGGAATAGGAATGATTACAAAAGTAAAGTCCCTTTGTTCAAAAATGTACCGTCTCCTTTAAAAATAATAAGATGTTATGATTTCAGTTAAATGAGTTTTAACACCATAAGATATACAAAAGTATATGAAATGCACTGAAATTCTATTTCTTGTTCTTGTAGAATGTTATAATTACTTGTTTCTACTTCAATTAATTTTTGTTTTTTTATAGTTTTATTTTAAACAAATGATGCAAGCTTTGTCACATAAGATTAACATGTTAACTTAATGTCCCTTCAAAAAGGATCATTAACTGCTTAACAAACCTGATGATTTTACAGCTCTACTTTTCTTCCATGAAGACAATGTTTTAGACATATGAGAATTTCCTGCTGGTTTTCCTCCCTGAGATTTCCCATATATTCCTGGTTTCCCACTCAAACTGGTTCCTGTTTCTGCCTTCTTTCCTATGCTATATGATGACACTTTTGATGACTCCTTTGCCTTTCCATAGAAAGATGGAGATGATTTACTCACAGAAGCTGGTTTAGTATTGATACTAGGTCCTGGCTTATTCTTTGTTGTTACCAAAGCAGAGTTATTTTTCTGAGAAAATGATTCAGATTTTGCTGAATTGTCATCTTCATTGGAAATTTGCCTTTTCAAGAAATCCCCAAGACTAATAATACCAGCAGATTTAGAATGTCCTAGAGATTTCTCATCACCACTAGATGTTGAAATTGATGGGACAGATCCTGCACTTCTAGGCTGAAGAGCTGGATTCAAATTTCCTGATGACTTTGACTTGGAAACTGCTGTCACTGGCTTCTCAGATTTTTTATTAACTGAATCCTTCTTAGATACATGCTTTGGTTCAGCAAGCTTAAAACTAGGTCTTGCACCAGCTGCCAAAGCAGGTAGTTCTTGTTCCCCTGATAATTCTGATGCCCATGTTAATGGTGCCTTTGGTTTTATATCAGAGTTTAATTTCATAGAAAATGATAATGTTGGACTGACTACAACAGGAACAGCTCTAAACACAACATCTTCCCCTGCATCTCGTTTCACTGAAGGCATTGATTGCTGTCTTCTTTCAAATGATTCTTGTAATGTCTGACCAGCAAGGCCTGAGTGGTCCTCCTCTTCCCCTACAAGTGTATAGAAATGTATATGTAATACATTAACAGGAAAAAATAATGCAAGTCTAAAGATTAGTGCAACAAAACAGATTACAAATTAAAAGCAATGATACCATATTAAAAGGCACATATTTTGGCACAACAAATAGCCTTTGTTGGTGCAGATCTTTAGACAAAAATTTTTAATTTTTTAAGGAACATAACCCTAGAACGGTAAAAGTGACATTACCAAAATTCAAACATGCTCTGTGTTTTGTTGTAATAAGCATTGTGAATAAGTTTCATAGCATTTGGTTCAGGCAAACTAAAGTTAGAGAACGGAAACTTATTTTGAGATGTATTGACGGACAAGGATAACACTTAATGCCCCCTCTGCTGCGGTGGGGCATAACATGTGAAATATTGTAACTACTTCCTTTTATCTTGTTATTTTATAACACTGACCTTTTTATGTTCTTTTTTTCATTCTCAATTTTTAGTTTTGATTTTTAAAAGAAATGGACATTGCTAAAATGAGGGCTGCAAAGACCAAAATAAACTGTGATGTAAACAATAATTTTGAAATATCCTTTCACCTAAAATAGTAGCAGGATACCATATTTGTAAACTACTATTTGTATACTGGTAGTAAAATGGCCGATTACGAAATAAACTATATATCATTCCCATTGAAGTCTACAAAGTCAGTTAACTTTATATGGAGATCATAGATATGATGATACCTTTATCCTGAGGTAAATCAGGAAAATCATTCTCTGTTATGTCTGGAGAACTCCTTGCACTTTGCTCATGTTGTTCAAATGACCATACTGAATCATCATTATTGCTACACTCTGATCGATGAGTGAGTTGTCCTTCTTGATTTATGCTGACTTCGGAACTTTCTGTTACCAATGTCAAGTCTGGTTCATCAGAAATACCTGCTGTAGTGTCAAGCTGAATAAAAAAAAAAACCAATTGAAACAAACAATGTAAATAGTTTTCACAAACTTTCAAGTGTCCTGATATTTGTTTGTTTTTATAATAACATGTACATTTTAGCATGTTTTGTTCTTTGAATAATTTATAATAAAAAAGCTAAAAATAATAATCTTAATATCAGAAATTGTTTTTTTTTTTTTAACAAATTATGGAATAACAGTGTTTGTACTTTTAAAAATTTATCATCTTTTTATTAATTATGATAATGTTTTAAACATTTGCATATGTTGTTTCAAATATCATGTTCTGTCTGACCTATGGAGTTGGCACCTTACATTAGCAGTTTTAGGTGCTGTCTGACCTGTAGTGATAAGGACCCAACAATAGCACTAGTATGAAGTGTCTGACCTCTGGTTATAGATGCCTTACTAAGCAATTTTATGCCGTGCCTCTCCTTTGGTGACAATAACAGTTTTATGTAGTACCTGACTTTTGATAGTAGTTTACTCTGATGCCTGACCTTTGGTGATAGAGGCCATAGCATAGAAATTGTATGTAATGCCCAACCTTCTATGATATTTCCTTTCAATAACAAAGCTTTATTAACCAACTTACTATAATATGTATAGAAATGCCCATGCTTTATAAATGGAAAATTTCGCCAACTGGTCATTATGAATGGAGAAATTGCTACAGCCAGTCATTACGAAATCTCAGTCATGCATTACGAAATCACACCCGTGCATTACGAAATCACAGCCATGCATTATGAACAGATGAAACGGGACATCGATTAAATCAAAATGTACGTTTATTTCTTTAAATAAGTGACAACTTTTTTTAAATTTATGAAGGTTGACAATCAACTAACATTCCATTATTTGAAAATTACAATTCAGTGACACATTGTTATATTGATATATTTTTTTATGTTAATTAAAAAAATCAATGGTATTTTCATTCCTTATCTTCCATCATGTCCATGGGCACAGTAAGCCAATACAACATTATACATTTAGAGTTCACTTCAAGGTCTTCAACATTGGGATTCAAACTCAACAGACAACGGTTAACAGTCAATGCAAAAAGAATAATTGATATATGGTCTATTCCAGTTGTCAAAAATGAAACTCAAAGAACAAGTGCACACACATAAAAACCAATTCTATCTAAAAAATAATGCCATGTTTCATGAACAAACACATATTTAATTATAAAATTTGTCAACAGAAGCATCAAAGTACATATGTTTTTTTTTCCATAATGGCCCTGATACATATATCCTTAATATTAATTATGGACTCTGACTGTTCTTGAATGAAGTTGGTTAATAAAAGTATCAATATATGGACTTTTTCATATTGGCCCTGTAACATGCCCTTGGAATTAATAATGGCCTCAGACAGTTGTAATGGCCCTCAGTGTTGCCTCTGGGGCATTACAACCATCCTTGGCCATTATTAATACCTCGGGCATGTTACAGGGCCAATATGAAAAAGTCAATACATTAATACTATAATATTGCTCCTTACATTAGCAGTTGTATGAAGTGTCATGGTTTCATATGAGTAACATGCTGAAGACTTACCTGTGACAACCGTGATAGAGCAGAATCTCCAAACTTGTGTCCGACACTATTATCTATAGAGAGAGAATCAACTGTCTTGAAGTGGTCCTGTGTCATATCAGCACTAGAAGCTGTGATCATCATTGGACTTACATCATCTGTCACATTAAAACTTGACTCTGATGTCTCTAGCTTTGTTGATATCACTTCTGGCTCTAATCTCAGGCCCATCATTTCAATCAAATTGTTATTGTTGCTATTCTGATTATCATTTTTCCTTTCAGGCGTAGATTCTGTTGATTGTTCTTCCCATTCTTTGTTTTTTGTAATTAACTTTTTGTGTTTTGCAATGAGATCTCGAGATTCCCGTATCAAATTGTCCAAATTTGCAAATTTTTTCTCTACAATGCTGTCATTATCATCATTTGTAGAATCTAATGCATGCTGACTGAGAGACAAATTATCTGTAGCAGGCATTTTTGAAGTATGCATTAAATCTGAGTCACTTAGCTTTCCATGGGTCAAAGATTTTTCATTTGTTTGAAGTGAATATTGACTTAAATGTCCATCAACATGATCATGTCCTGAAGACTGAGTTGTCTCCGCAGTTAAATCAGTGCTAAAGCTATATTGTGTCATGGATTTGTCTCCCTTTGATAAACTGAAGCCAGATATTTGCCTTGATGGATCAAGACTATGTTGACTAAGTGAGGAATCATCTTTGGTGTCTTGGCTAGCAGAAGGTTCCAAACTATACTGGGATAAAGATTTAATTGCTTGGTCAGGTGAAATATTTTCTGTGGTTTCAATACTATATTGACTAAGTGGTGACACATTTTCTGACCCAATGGTGTACTGACTTAGTTCTTTACCAATCAAAGTAACTCCTGGTGTATCAGATTTTAAACTATACTGACTTAATGTGACACCAACTTTCTTTTCACCAGACCCCTGGTCCGAGAAATCAGATCCAAACTCACCACTTCTTGAAACAAATGCAGGAGTTTGGTTTGAACTGATGCCAAAAGATTGAGGAATAGCTCCACTTCTTACTTGGATGTCTCCTGGAGTCAAATCATACTGAGATGGTTCTGACAATAGTTGTGATGACATCTTATTTTCTGTTGTGTATGGTGTGCTGGTAAAACCACCCTTTTCTGTATATTTGCTGGAATCAAGATCTATTAAATCATCACTTGAATTAGGCACTGAGTGATCTTTTGCAGTGAATTTAAACTGACCAATGAAATCAAAAGGTCTATTTATTCCACTCACAGCATCTAGATCCATGTAACTACTTGCAGATGTAGCAGTTGATGCTAAGCTTTCACCAGTTCTCAGAAGTTTGCTGTCTTCAACATTGTCTTCAGCACCGCCCAATGGGGATTCTCTAGCAGATGATTCATTAACAGCAGAACTTGAAGTATATCCCCTTGAACGATCATCACTGGAAGACTGTTCCATCTGTCCAGATTTTTCAAGTAATGGATACTGAGAAAGTTCACCTTGTTTATTTGATCTCTCTAAAGGAGTTATTTCTGACAGTTCTTGTATATTCAACCTACTGGAAGAATCAGAAGAAATACTTTCATCTACATGCTTAAAGTTACGACTATTGAATGAGCTGCCAGGTTTTTCTATATTTGGTTGTTCTATTTTCATATGAAATACATCATATTTCCTGTCCACTGGACTTTTACTTGGTCGTCTATCATCTGTCGCTTGATGGTTGAGTTTTTCCTGACTAGAAGAATTAAGCACCCTAGAACTTGGTTCCAGTCTAGAATCTGCTGATGTTTTACTACTGTCGTCCATCTTCATGGAATGATATTGTCCACTGTAGCTTGATAATTCATCAGCCCATGACATTCCGCTACGGTATGAGCTGTCACTACGGCTATTGTCTCTTCCCTTTTGATTGACAACCTTAAAAGCTGGGGCATCTGAAGGAGAGTTATACTGCGTAGATACATTACTGTCACTAATAGGACCTGAAATTATAACAGTAGGTATATAATGATAATCTTAATAAGTATAAATTTATGTACATGAATATTCATAGAGACTCTTCAGAAAAATTCTTTCCTGTTAAGGTTCTAAAATGATTTTTTTTTTACAAACAATTTTAGTATTGAGGCTATTTCAAAATGATGATGTAAATAAACATCCTTCAAATATGTATATGATATTAATCTATTTTCAATTATTTCATACTTTTCATATGGTCCAAAAAAATATCATGACAAATAGTTCATCTTCCAAGTAACTAAAAGCATGATATTCATTAGGGCATTATTATCATAGTTTAATTCATACATGTTCAAGTTATTGAAAGCAACAAAATGAATCTGACATATGTACATTGTATATGAAATCTTTTCCTGAGTACCATTACAATTACACTTTTATAATTGAGCATGCTTTTAACATTACATAGATAAAAATATAAAATGAAATCTACACAAATATGTGATGAGAGAATATTAAGTGTGTGTTTATGTGTGCCCAGCTGGTATGTGGTATTCTTAGTAAATCATAACGAGGAAACAGATCTTTTCATTTAATTATGAACTTGTCTAAATGTAAACTGTTTTGTTCAAATGTAAGCTTACCATTCTCACACAAAAAGAAAATTAATATCATCAATAGTAAAATTTCCTGAATATGTTTTTGTTTGTACTTTTGTTTTAATAAATTTGAAGAATGAAAACTTTGAATGACTTCGAATGCACCTAGATGGAGAAAAAAATAAAAAATTTGTGGAAGCTTGATTTGGTCATTTTAACAAATTCTGCGTTCAAGCTTCCAGAAAATATTAATGTTGTCAAACACTTAAATTTGTGCTTAACCTTTCTCTATGAAATCCATGAAAAACAGTCCTCAACAAGAAATAATGAATCCACAGTAATTCAACTTTCCAAATAATGATTTCTAACTTTCTGTATAAATAAATGGGGAATGTGTCCATGGGACACAGATGATGCCCCCGCTTGCATATCATATAAAGTTATAAAGGGACATAACGGAAGAACTGTAAAAGTGACGCTACCCAAATTTGTTATTGATCTGAGTTTTGTAGTAATAAGTATTGTGTATAAGTTTCATAACATTTGGTTGAGGCAAACTTAAGTTTGAGAACGGAAACGAAAAATTCAGCAATTTTCCCTTTTGTAAAGGGGCATAACTCTAGAACGGTAAAAGTGACACCACCAAAATTCATACTTGATCTGTATTTTGTGGTAATAAGCATTGTGTTTAAGATTCATAACATTTGGTTGAGGCAAACTAAAGTTAGAGAACGGAAACCAACTTTGGGACGTACGGACGTATGGACGTACGGACGGAAGGACAAGGGTAAAACTTAATGCCCCCTCCGCTACGGCGGGGGCATAAAAACTCTTTCAATAATTCTTTATGTGACTGTCAGAAAAGAAAGTCAATCTTTCAGTAGTAAAATCTGTTTTGCTAGATTACAATAGGTGTTTTGGAACAATTTTTTATACATGTACTGAAAATGAAACTATCAGGTCATAATTATATGTAAATAATATTATTATACATATAATGTATTATTAAATTATAAAGTATAAGGTGCCATTAATATTATCTGAACTAACCTGTTGATAAAGAATCAGGAGTAAGTGATCCCATGGATAATGACATGTTACTCCCTGGGGTGCCTCCTTTCTGTGGGGGTGTAGCAATATTAGCAAAAATATCATTGGTTTGTTGCTTCAGTCGATCTACAACACTAGGGTCAAACTCTCTAGCTCTTTCAAGTATCTGTTCAATTTGCTGAGTTTGGTAGCCAGTCTCTCCTGCAGTCCTAGGATAGGTGGGTGTGACAAACTGTTCTTGTGGTTCCTTTTCCTCTGGGATAGTTCCTGTGGACAAGTGGTAGGAATCCAATGATCTTCTTGACACTGAACTGCCACTAGATGAAAGGCTTGGCTTTCCAGATTCTAAAGATCTCTGTGCACTCCTTGGAGTATCTACCTCCTGTTCAATACAACAAAGTATTTTAAACTCGACAGAAATTCTTGAGGGAATTTAAGCAGTTTTTATAATTTATTCTTGAAAATTAGAGGGCTATAATCATAGTACAAAATATCTACAATTCAGAAATACAATTCCAATCTTTCCATGTCTTCTTTTGAATTATAACAACACACACTTTTTAAACAATTTATGCCAATTTTTCTAGATGACTTTTGTATTTCATTGGGGAACACTGCCCTGAATTGTTTCTTGTTGTTTCTTACCTGTATGGTACTAAGCTCATGGGGTCTATGTTCACCAAGAAGATTTAACTTTTGTTTCTGCGGTGGACCTCTCAGGTGTTTAGTTGTCAAGATATCTCCTCTTCTTTCCTCATCAGTGTCTACCTCTGTTGTTGAATCTAAAAAATTTAATAAAATTCATAAATTTCACCACAATGACATTATCTGAGTGTTAAGAAACAGTCACACACAATTGAAAAAATCCAATATTTCATATAGAGTGATTTACTTATATTTAATACGATTCAATAACTAATTAATTAAAAATTAATTGTCATTGTCACAGCTCTAATATGAAAAATTAATGAGTTAAAGTAAAAGAGATTACACAATTTCAAATCTTTCTGCTGCAATATCATTTTCAAAATACTGTATACACTTCTTGTATGCAGTGTAAAATGTTTCAAAATAAGTATTAAATTCTAAATAATATAATCCCACCTGTCACTTAATAAACAGTGGTCACTATGGAATAATTAATTAATTAATTCATGTCAGTTAGAACTATAATCTGTAGTATGAATTACCTTGGAAACTATGGTCTTAATTATTGATTTATACTTTAAAATTAGTCTAAATAAAAACCTCATTAATATCAGCCTAAATTTTACAAATCATAATAGAAACAGTTCAAACACTTTGTTCATGGAATAATGACAGTTATAATCACCATTTTGTTCTACGGAAGACACAAATATTTTGAGGAAAATTTAATCATGTAACATATACATTTATAATTCACAAAAATTTAATGACACATCCTAATAACAATCTCACAGTTATTAAAAAAATATCTTCAAAACTAGATCGACTTCTCTGTAATACATATCTGTGTCCATATGGAACACCCCTCCTTTTCACACTATATTCCTATGTTCAGTTAAACTGTAAATTTGTGGTCAAAACCCAAATTTAACATATAATTTGAATAGTTCATATCATAATGTACAGATGTACAAAGTTTCAAGTTGATCTGACCACAGCTTCATGGTAAACTACCTTAACCAAAAACTTTAACCTGAGAATGTACTGATTCAGTGAACCCTGAAATTATGGTAAACAACTGTAATTGTGCATATCATATTAAAAAGTTCACATTATAATGATCATGTATACTAAGTTTCAAGCTGATGTTATCACAACTATCATAGGAGGGACGTACAAACTATTGATAAACATTGTACTGTTGAAAAGGAGTGTAGTGGTGCAGTATTATTGAAATACACCTTGGTATTTAAAAATAAGTCCTTATTGCACAATGTAAAGTCATTCAAGTCCTAAATTTAGACTAAGTGAATCCTATCCTACCAAAAAGTGTTACATAAGGGCCTTAATGATGCAAGGTCACTGATATTTTACGAAAAGTCTATGTAAAATTGAGCTTACAACTTAATCAAATTTGGACTGATATAGAGAAACAACCATAAAACCTATGTCCAAAATAATATGTCATTTAGGAGGCAAGAAGTTAAAATAATAATTGAAAATATCAGAAACAGCTATCTATCACTTGTAAATCTCGATAAATACAATTTCTGATAATAACTAAAAGTTGAGAACTAAAAGTAATGGAAATATGCATAAAATAATTGCCAATGAACAAAAAGAAAACAATAATTAATCAATTATAACTTGTGATAAGTATTGCATATTTTTATTACAATACTCAGATTGGAAGTTCCCACCGTTTCATTTCTTATGAGAAAGTGGGACTCATGTTTGAATTTTGGATCTCAGTAGTTGAAGATTAAACCCTATAAAGTCACAAAATAATAACAAGGCGTTACATACCTTCTGAAGTGAAATCAGGAGTCAATCTTTTCTCTTCCTCTGCCATCTGGTATTTAAGTCTTTCCTGTTCAGCATGTAGTCTAAGATGTGCCATATCATGCCTCTGTAATATGGCCTCTTTCTGTTTCTGTATTTCCTCTAATTGCTTCTTTAACTCCTGTTGTCTGTTATCATATATTTCATTTTGATCTCTTCCTGTACTCTGACTTGATGTATCCATATCAGATTCTGCTGACTGGGCTGATCGTCTTCCATTCATTGGTAATTTAGGGCTCCCTCTGTCTGTAGATGATGACATTACTGTATCATCTAAATCTCTTCTATCATCTGTTTCCATTGTAGAGTCAAATTCTGTTTGTCTAAATTTTCCACCAGAATCATGAACCTGAGTGTAAGGTGATTCTTGTAGAGATTCATCAAAAGGAAGAGACTTTTTAACATCTCTAAATTTATTATTAGTCTGACTTAGTTCTGGTTTACTGTTTATCTCTTTCCCAATTCCCAATCTTTGTGCATAGTATGGATCTGAAGCAAGTTGTGTCACAAGTGAAGATATAGCTGTCTTACTTGGTGATAGTTCTGTTGTTTGTGCAATTGTCTGGCTTACCTCAGGTGGGGGAGGAATATTTGCTCGACTATCTGCTGCTGTGATTTGTTCATCTCCTTTGTTTGTTTCAGGAGATTGACCAGCTAATTGTGGAAATCTCTGTAGTAATTCCTGTCGCCTTTTTTCAATTTCAGCTCTGGTATCAGCAAGCACTTTTTTACTTTGTTCATGACGTTGTAGTAAGTATTGTTGATAATCTTTAATCTTTTTAGAGTGGTCTTGTTGAGCAGCATAGGATGTTACTGGTATCAGACCAACTGTGGATGGAATGGGAAGAGATGGAGTAGGAAAAGTTTGTGGGTAATACTCTCCAGACGACCCAGATAATGAACTCATTGACAATGAAGGATGATGAACAGACTCATGACTAAACACAGAAACTGGTGCTACACTGGGCGGAATATATTGTTGCTGCGACTGTACTGCTGGCTGCCTCACTCCAAAACTTCCAGCTTCATGCTGGGTTAGGATCTGTGAGAGGGCTGAGGTGTAGGCTGGAGGCTGAATTCTACTACTCACATTTACCGATGACAGTGGTGGCATGTCACCCTGTTGTCTATGAGACAAAGGAATATACTGCTTTGGTAATGATGATACAACTGGTTCTCTTGGCAACAGAGTAACTGGTATGGGATATGGTTGTTCTGATACTGTCATACCAATTCTGTCAGTATGCTGAACTGGCATGTGCTGTTGTATTTGTGGCTGGGCAGTACCAGCTGTTGTCAAATATGGTTTTGCTGTGATGGGACCAGTTGACAATGGAGGTTGATGCATACTTTGGGGTACAGACCAAGAATATCTAGAGGACATCTGTTCTCTTGATGTAGCATGTCCATTCATTAGCTGGGTATGTATTGGAGGATACCCTTCATTATGAGCTAGTCTAGATTTGGCTGTTTGTTTGTAAGCAGCATGCTCCCCTTCTAGAGCTTTCAATTTCTCCTCTAACACTCGTTTTTGGTTTCTGTAAAAAATCAATCAATGAAGATTAGAAAACAGTAAATGACCTTTTTGATGCCATGTTTTCATCAATGATAATGTTACAACAGTAGGACTTTTCAGTTAAAATGGAAAGACAAATTAATTGTATTCTGTCAAGATATTGCAAAATCAAATTCCTATTCTGCAATTTATTATGTAAAAATTTTATCTCTATGGCATCTTGTTAATTCACCTTTTATTCTGAGTGAACAACTTAAACCAGACAGTTTTAAATTTGGTGAAAATGAGGCAAGCAAACTTCAACTTGGTCAAGGTGAGACAAAAATTAAGGAAAAATAGGAAATAATTATTTTTGTAGATTTTCCATAAATGTCCTGTTATCATTCAGGCAAAGACAAGAACAAAGGAGTAAGTTCGGTAAGGGCCATATTTGGCCCAGACTATTAAGTTCAATGTTTCAAGCTAAAAAATGTTAAGCTGTAAAAGACATTGAGGAAGTTAAATAGTACTTTTTTTGTCCTAGCTTTAAAGTGTTGGTTTTTACATCCAAAATAGGCCAAAAATATAGATTTTTGCAATTTTTGACAAAATTGTCTGCATTTCAACTAAATTTAGGCCTAGGAAACATAAAGTGCAGGTATCGACAAACTAAATATTCAAGTCAGATATGTAAAAGGTTATAAAAAACATAATGTGAAAAGATCTTTTTTGTTTACGCATGTGCTCTATATTTCCTGTCCAAAAAATAAATGGAAATTTACCTGTTTTCATTGAAGTTTTGTAGAAAATCAAAATAAGTGCTATTTGTGACATCATGAATAGAACGCAAGAAGGTAACATATCAATAAACAGACATATTTCCTTTCTAGTCATTGTATTGGCTTTGATTTGTTGTGATATTGGCCCATAAATACTTATTTGAAATTGTAGCTAGAAATAGGGGCCGTTTAAGGGGCTTATCGAACCTACTCCTTTATCAAAAAAGCAGATACTTAAAGGAAAGCTTCATTGACAATGGATAATAACTGTAAAATGGTGCCAGCTGCTTCAACTGGACTTGCTGAATAACAAGACTCAACTTTGCTAAATTTCTGACAATTTGTAAAGGATACAAGATACTGAAAGCTAATGTGTGCACTTTATCATGAAATAATGTGTGAGCTATAAAAACAATACAGAGTTTAGAATATAAGTTCAACCAGGAAATCCACAGTAAGTAAAACCAGTTATAGATTGGACACCAAACAGCATCAAATATTCTACTGTGACAAGCAATCTGTTGTGTGATGTAATGTGAAAGCCAAAATGCAGTATGTTAGAACACCTATGTGCAAAAAAGTTTGTCACACTTGATGACAATGGTTTCAATGGAACTGTAATAAAATCTGTCTTCTTACACCAACCCTTAATACTTTACAACAACTGATGTGGAATCTTTTGTTTTAATTCCCCCTTCTTCTTTTAGATTTATTTAATCCTAAGGTACACATAACCTTTATTCAAATTTGTTTAAGGCAAATAATATCAAAGATATTTCAAAATAACCTAACACACCTAATGACAATTTTGTCCCTCTAACTGGTCTTAATGATAGCAAAAATCAAAAAAAAAAGAAATTCTGATCCCCTCTAGCTACTTATACATGTATTGACAACTCTGTATCTCTTTACCAATTTTGAATAGGCAAAGTTTATATCTTAAGTACAAGCAAAAGGGATACTTCAATGAACAATTGTATGACACAACAATCACTGCTTATAACAATGCTGTTTCTTCTTTTTTGCTTCTCTAGCACTTATTTTTGCTTGTTTTATGTGACATTTGTATGATATGTCAGTGTTAATTTAAACATGGTGTTCAAGTCAAGTTACAATCAGACTTAGCCACAGCCTTTTAAAAGGTTTTCTATACAACTTTGGCATGCTGAGCTAATGATTCTTAAAAAAAATTTTTTTTATAATAACAAATATCATGGAATGAATATTCTTAAAACAGATGCATATTTGTATAGAATGCACATAAGGCAACATTCTTAAAACTATTAAATTCATCATATCTCAATACTAAATCCATCATCTAACCTGCATTCCACTATTAAAAAAAACAATTCATTGATATCTTTTAGAAATTAATATGTTGTTGCTAGATGAATTTCTGTTTCATTCATATACAACGAAAATAAGGCTGCCTTATTCCATTTTGATGTATCAACAATTATATTGCTAGATTTAAAACGGAAAATGTAAAAAGGAGTTCAAATTGTAATGTAAAATAAAAAAAATTAAAAAATCTGTGACATTGCCCCTTTACCATTCCTTGACCTTAAGTGTATAAATGTGGTATTAAGGATTAAAATATAATATGATCTCAAAAGTCAAGAACATGGAAAGATGAATAAAGGTAACAGAACATTGGTGGAAAATTACATTTGAAGTTTTTAGGAGGGATATATATGCTTATCACCCTTGATTGATGAGGAGGAGAGAAATGTGATAATGACTTTGTTGATTGCTTGAGCATGAATACTTACATCATGTTAGTACCGTACGCCATCAGATTTAGTATCGGACTGTAAAGTTTAAAGTATCATTTTATTTTTTTAGGTTATCAATCTGATTTACATTTTACCAGTAGAATATGTTCTGGCTGTTACATATTAAAAGGTATATGAAATAGGTAAAAGTCAAATGTCTGTTAATTCATGACATTTTATTTTATGTCAAGTAAAATCAGATCAGCTCTGATGATAACAGGGATAAAAGAAGACTCTATCCAAAATACCAAACTTATTTTTGTGCAGTTTTGATATCTCAGGATAACTTTTTATAGGATGGATCCCTTTAAAAAAAGGACAAAATTCCACTTCATAATCTTTAAAATATTTTTTTTTTGCAAACCTGATGTTCAAAATGTTTAAGCACATTAATTCTGAGTCTTTGATATCTTTTTATACTAAAATTGAGTTATTAAGATTAATCGTTTAAACCTCAAACCTCAAATTGACGGATCCTATTAGGTCCTGTTGAAAACTTGACACCTCTCTGTTATATGTAAAAAAGATCACAACTTACTCTAACTCTTTCTGTTGTTCTAATACTGAGTCAACAGATATGTCTCCTGTACTTTCAGGAGCACTAAGCTTGGTAGGAACCTCATCTGTTTCAGTACCAGGAACATGTCTACCAGGTTCAAGTACCTGCAAAGATAATATGTACATTCATACATTTAAAAACATGTTTTCACTGAATATTCAAATGGACATAACACATGACTATTTAACATTTAAAAAGACCTCAGTAAATGTTTCTTCAATTTATCAAATTAAGTTTTCATGGTTTCAAAAGTAATGCTTGCTCTATAAATGCAATGAGTAATGGTATATATTAACAATACCATTTTGAGTGTACCATATTTATATTTTTCTCAGTGTAAAAGACTGAGACTGCATAATATACATGTCATAATCAATAAATAAGTCGTCATTCAGGTCATACAATATAATGTACTGCTAATTATGAAAATCATACTTTTGATATAATCCCTTATTTAAGAAAGCACAATGGTTTATCATTATAATGTCATGATGGGCTTCCATACAAAGTACTGACATCTGATTAGTTTTAGATGATGATCATACATCGTACGATACATACCAAAGGATGAGGGTGCAAACAACTACAGGATATATAGCATTCAACAATAAACAAAACCCATACAGTAAGCTATAAAAGGCTCTGGCAAATCAAATTGTGAAACAACTCAGCAGTCTCATTTATGCTTAAGACAATAAATGAAAAAACAAATATAGCAGACAGCAACCAACGACAATAGGAGTCAATATCTCTACCTCCTACAAATAATGTGGGAAAAAAACTGTAAACTTGTAAAAATATTCTACAACTAAAGGGGCATAATTCAGCAAAAAAAAAAATCACCAATTGAAAGAAACTCAGATTTGATCAGTAACCTCTTATTACCACATATAAAAAAAATAAATAAATTTGTCTATTACTGGTACAATAAAAGCGCACAAATTAATTCCTCGAAACTAATTCCATGAAATGGCTACCTATCAGAATGAGAGACAATGGTTACCATGATTGTTACTTTACGTAACATGAATATATGTAAAAAGAAAAAAAAAAGAAGGTAAATTTAACCTCCTTCAGAAAAAAAAAAACCACAGCAAAACTCAAGCTTGGCATACGGACATACAGAAAAACAGAACAGACCACTTTAATTTTTATCTGACAAGGGACTATCACAATTAATCTGTAAATACTATTGTTCTTCGTCATATTGGAAATGAGCTTCTTTATTTATCAAACTACAGTCATTTACATAATCGGGATTCAAATGGAGGATAGTGGCGGATCCGGGGGTGAGTTCCTGGGGTTGGAACACCCCTTTTTTTTGACAATCAATGCTTTTGTATGGGAACGTATGGTTGGAACTCCCCTTTATCCTTGGTTGGAACCCCCCTTTTAAAAATGGCTGGATCTGCCCCTGGAGGAACAAAGGATTGGATTATAATATTCAGAAACCTACCTTAGTTGTAGTATCATCAGGAATATTGAGATCAACATTAGATTTAGATATCCATTCATCTCTTTGGGATTTTATTTTATCCATTAATTTCTTCAACACTTTTTCTGAAAAAAAGTGAAATAAATATATCATATTTTTCACCAAAGTTGTAGACTGTTAAATTATCAGTTTAGCTCTGCAGCTACAAAATAAATAATCCACTTTAAAAATAGTTTTAGGTATATTACCTAAAAAAAGAGAAGCAATGTTGAAATAAACTTCCTTACATCCTTTATCTATCATTTGCTTTTCTAAAAAGTCAATTTGAACCCTCTTCTAACCACAAGAAATTTTTTTTCTGGATCAAACCTTTTCTTAACATTTACAAAAGAAAGCCTTGTTAAAAATATCTGTTTGCAATAAGTTATTTTTGTATGCCTCTATGTTACAAATTTCATACAAATAATAAGCTAATTTTTCATTCATCTGTCCTTTTAGAAACTTTATCTAGAGTAATCTAAATAATAAGTCTTGAAATGAATATTGCTCAAGTGAAATAGGTACTATGACTTTTCTTTAGATTTAACTGAGACAGGCATCAGCTATCTTTTAAAGCTTATCCTAGGTTGCAATCTGATTATACCTGGTTTCTTTACTGGTGACTTTTCTCCCTGTGCTCTTGGTATATTAGTCATATCTCTAAGAACTGGTGGAATTCTGGGTAATGTAGGTTCCTGGACAGGTGTTCCATCTGTCATTATGGATACCTCTAATGATTCTGTTGTAGAAGGTGTCTCTGGAGGTGGGTGTGGGTCTAGTGCTAAACTTAAATCACCTACATAATCTGAAAATGATTTTTTTGAAACGTTAGATTTCTTTATTGTTGTTAGTGCTTTCACTTAAGAACTCAAATGACTAGGGTGGTTAATATAAATATATAAACTGAAAGATAATTGTTGCTTGGGACACAAATGTGCATGTAATGGGTATTGCTTTAAATAAGTCAATGGAATGATTTAATCTTTTTTTTCTATTTTTATCTTCCATTTTGATTAATCAATAATTTCAATAAATTGTTAACACAGAGATATGTCTTCCTGTGTAACCTAATAACAAACTTTCAAAGTTGTTAATGCCATGGACAACAGTATACCTAAGTCGTGTTTCCTTTTTTTTTAACTGGAAGGGAAAACTCCTCTGTTAACCTATGCACTGTGTGCTAACAAAAGTATGACTATATATATTGAATAAGAGAAAGTAATATAATGGAAAAAGAATGTTGTACAAATATCTACATTAAGAGATTCGTTATTGAAGAATTGTGTTGTACCTTTGAAATTGTATTTACAGTATGATTTCCCGTAGTATCAATTATCCAATATTATTCATTTATTAATTTCAGCAGTATTTGTTCCCAATTATTTGGTAATCAATCTTTTTGTACTTTGTATTATGAGATGGTTAATTGTTTTTATTTTGTATATTAATTAAACAATTTTTAAACCATAAAGGCATTTTATTTTTTGTTGGTATTAAAGAGAACCTACCTGTTTGAGCCATGTACATGTCTTCAAATGCTGTTTCTAAATTTCTTTGGTGGTCTTCTCTGTCTTCTATCCTTCTGTGAGGTGGCTCAAAAACTTGTTTCTGTTAAAACAAAAATAGTTTAAATAATAATCAAGGCACATAACAAAACAAGTAAGATGCCGTCTAATTGATGGCTACCAGTTGTAGACCAAGGTAACTCAAATGTTGTTGATGTTATAATGTATCTTAGTACTGGACAGAGTGATTTTTCTTATGTAAACTTTTCAGACAGAACCTTAGGTTGAGGTTAAAAAAAGATCAACCTTCTATACTTTCCCAAATTTGGGACCAATTATCAGAAACATTTTATTTATTTTTCTTTTGGTTGGGGTCAAGTTCAACTGTTTATTGACAAGAACCATTAATAATGTAATATATCATCAAATTTAAAATATCTGATTTTGAAATAGAATTTTTTTATCAACTTTCCCTGTCACATGCAACTAGTCATGTTTGTTATTTAGATTGGCTAGTAAGGTCATTGGTAATAGGATACAAATCTAATGGGAAACAATCATTAAACCATTTTACCAGAACTTAGTCCAGACAAGCCATGTTTATTGCAATGTTGGTGTGTTCAATTTGTGTTATAGCTGGGATGGTTTAATGGTTGTAAGACATCAGACAGGATTTCTGACTAAGCAATCTACAACCATTTCAAACAAGTTTGTGTCAAACTGGATAATTGGAATCTGGAGCAGTCCATGGAAAACAATTGTGGATGAAGGACATATGAATAAAAGTCAAAGTGTAATCTAGGCGTTACAGAGGAAGCATTAAATCACATAAAATAAATAGATAACCATATGTTACACAATTATATTAAAAGTAACCAAATATATATGTCAAGTAAAACGTCATGCAGCAAATCATTTAAAATTAAAATTCTCTTAATAGAAATAGCTATTTAATGGGAAAACAAATTAAACTTAAGGAGACAGTAATCTTACCGGAATGTTTGCAACAACATGTAACCTCCTTTCTCTGTCTGCTCTCTGTAAATCACTAAGGTCCATCAGCATCTTATCATAGTCCTAAAAAGTTCAAATTACTTTTACAAATTATTGTAATATAAACAAGTATATTATACAGAACATACAACTTGTGAAAGACATTACTAAATGAAAAGTCATATATGAAACTCAGAAATCACTTCTTTGCCCTTAGGGCTGTTCCATAAAAACATATATGGGACCCAGGGAAGGCAACTTAAATTTTCAACTATGGGTGGGTATGAAATATTGTGTTGTATGGGTTAAAATGTATGCAGGACTCCAAAATCGCTTCTATGGGGGGTCACTCTGTTTGCAAAGTGCCTTCCCTGGGTACAATGTATGTTTTAATGGAACAGCCCTTTGATCTAATGATTTTTTTTTAGCATTTTTACACTAATTTTATCATAAATTTGGTATATGTATGTTAGATTCAGATTGATGTCCAGTCTCTAATAGATGTCCCTTTCTCAAATAGACGTCCAATATTAAGTTACGTTCTCAAATCAGTGTCCAATATTTTTACGGTCTTATCAAAGTCCAATGTGACGTTGTGTTTAACCAAAACAACATCCGATCAATCAGAGTCTCCTCTCAACGATGGCTAATATCATTTAATCATTTATTCTGAGTTTGATCTCTGTTTATATTATCTATATAGTTATGTCTTTGTGTAAAGCCGCTTAAAGAAAATAATTGTTTTTATATATCTTTATACTTTACAAATCATAATGACTTAATTAACATATATGAGAAGGAACAACAAATTAGGCACTATACTGTCCCAAATAATCAATCAAATAAAGCTAGAAGGACACACATAAGTAAATAACAATAATACAAACACTGATATCATATTACATGTACATGAATTAAATATTTTGTTGAAAGAAGTTAATCCACTCGATCTACATTGTGTTATTCCCCATATATCCATATAAGTAAATGACATTTGGATATAAGACAATGAGACAAAAACCCAACAACAAAAATAACTGAAAGACATCTAAGGGACAAATACAGTCTCAAACAATATACAGAATAAAACAGTACAGTCAATTGTTGAAAAGTATTATTATTTGGACTCTGCAAGATTTAAAATCTTATGTTTTTTAACTATTTTTTTAGTTTAAGATTCAACCAACCATTTGAATTCAGAAAATGCCTGTATTAAATTAGGAATATGACAGTTGTTTTCATGAAATAAAGTTGAGACATCTTTATGGCAAAGTTCACAAAAAGAACGTCAATTAGAGAGCCATATATTGGACGTAGATTTGAGAACAACAAAAAATATGTCAATTAAAGGAGCATAGAATTAGCCATCGATTTGGAATCTTATTTCATTATGATGTCAGATTTGGATGTTGATTTGAAGAACAGACTTTAGTTAGAGAACAGACGTCAATCTGAGTCTTACATATATATTTCTCATCATCTTTAAAAATTTCTATTTTTCTTTTTTTTTCAGAACAGTTACTCAATGAAAACGTACATGACTAAGTATTTCTTTTTCCAGAGCATTATTATGTCTGACTCTCGCCCTGGCCATTCTGTCATTACTCAGTCTGACTAACTCCTGAGATCTCTCCCTAATTCTCCGCTCTTCTTCCTCAGCCGCTGCTCGCGCATCTTCCTGTAAAAGTTTTCATTATATATGAATCATAATTTGTATTAAAACATATGCTGACAATACTGTAACTGGGCTCATTTTGTCTAAATTATCAATGATTTTTTTTTTATCAAAAGAGAATATCTACCGGTATATTATTTTTGTAATTGTATCCTTTCCAGGGTTTAAACTTTACTTTAATCATTGGTTAAATCAACTGAATAAAGGACTTCTTGTTTAATCCCTACATTTCATTTTGTGAGATTTTTTTGTTTTTTATCATAATACTCTTTAACATGTGAAAACTGTCAAATACATTTCTTATATAAATACAAATAACATTATTTTGATAGAATTAAAAAACAAAATTTACACTTAATATTTGACTGAAATGTATCCTTTCAACCATTACAACACCATATGTATCTTATTCAGGTTAGGCAAAAAACTGCTATATCAAATAAGCAATGAAAATAATAAATATCATACTAGTTAAAGTGTGTAAGGCACAACTTTCTGCAACTATAAGAGCTTAAGTAAAGGTGCATCAACTGGAACAGCCAACATTAACATCTCATTTTCTCTTGTTATGTGGAGAATTTGGTGTTGATGGCAGATCTTTTTAACAATTTTTGTAGATTCAGAATGATAAAATTAAACTTTTTACCCACCTGTGTTACAGAAAATTAAACTTTTTACCCACCTGTGTTACAGGATTAGCCTTATCAATGGAATATTGTTCTAAAATATGGTAATGTGTTGTTGTAAAATTATCTACATCAGTCATCTTTACTGGTTTTTCTGCAAAAAAAAATAATATAAAACTATACAAAAAGTCTTGTATAAAATTAGGGCTTGTAAAGTGCAAAAAAACTTAATGAAATCTCACTTAGATGCAAATCAATAAATAAAATATGAGGAATATGACTTCACTAATACTGCCTCATTACAATTCAGAGTTGTTTATTCTTCTCTTCTACTAGTCACAATGAACAAATTTGAGAAAGAATTTTCCTAAAAAATACATTTCATGTACAGTCGAACCTGTATAAAGCAGTCACTCATGCAATATTGAACGTGACCACTCAAGAGAGATGACCTTTTTTAAAAAAGGTTCAGAAAAAATCTGATTCTGCCATTGCCCAAGGCAGGGATCACGCTAAATTGTTTTAGTGTTTTCAATCGGTAGTTATCGTTCTTGAAGCAGTGAAATAAAAAAAAAAAATGGCAGATTCTGGCAAATTGTAAATTGGAATAGAACTTTCAAAATATATTAATATTTGTGGAGAAAAAAGTCGGTGATACTGTTTTCAATGGAAACTGAAAAAGAGTAGAACACAAGGAATTTATGAATTCACCTCCTAGGCCAAAAAAAACAAGAGTGCACACGCTGAAATGTCTCGCCTTCTTTACTAATCATTGATATTATGTTGATAGTCCTAAATATAAAGCTTTATTACAACTGTCACATAAACTTAACATTAACCAAGTAAACTAAACATTGACCAATGAACCATGAAAATGAGGTCAAGGTCAGATGAACCATGCTAGGCAGGCATGTACAGCTAACAATTCTTCCATACAACAAATAGAGTTGACCTATTGCTTATAGTTTAAGAAAAACAGACCAAAACACAAAAACTTAACACTGAGCAATGAACCTTGAAAATGAGGTCAAGGTCAAATAAAACCTGCGTGACTGCCAAATAGATCATAAAATATTTCCACACACCAAATATAGTTGAACTATTGCATATAGTATAAGAAAAACAGACCAAAACACAAAAACTTAACTATAACCACTGAACCATGAAAATGAGGTCATGGTCAGATGACACCTGCCAGTTGGACATGTACACCTTACAGTCCTTCCATACACCAAATATACTAGACCTATTGCTTATAGTATCTGAGATATGGACTTGACCACCAAAACTTAACCTTGTTCATTGATCCATGAAATGAGGTCGAGGTCAAGTGAAAACTGTCTGACGGGCATGAGGACCTTGCAAGGTACGCACATACCAAATATAGTTGAACTATTGCACATAGTATTAGAAAAAAAGACCAAAACTCAAAAACTGAACTTTGACCACTGAACCATGAAAATAAGGTCAAGGTCAGATGACACCTGCCCGCTAGACATGTACACCTTACAATCATTCCATACACCAAATATAGTAGACCTATGGCATACAGTATAAGAAAAACAGACCAAAACACAAAAACTTAACTATAACCACTGAACCATGAAAATGAGGTCAAGGTCAGATGACACCTGCCAGTTGGACATGTACACCTTACAGTCCTTCCATACACCGAATATACTAGACCTATTGCTTATAGTATCTGAGATATGGACTTGACCACCAAAACTTAACCTTGTTCACTAATCCATGAAATGAGGTCGAGGTCAAGTGAAAACTGTCTGACGGGCATGAGGACCTTGCAAGGTACGCACATACCAAATATAGTTATCTTATTACTTATAATAAGAGAGAATCTAACATTACAAAAAATCTTAACTTTTTTTTCAAGTAGTCACTGAACCATGAAAATGAGGTCAAGGACATTGGACATGTGACTGACGGAAACTTCGTAACATGAGGCATCCATATACAAAGTATGAAGCATCCAGACCTTCCACCTTCTAAAATATAAAGCTTTTAAGAAGTTAGCTAACGCCGCCGCCGCCGCCGGATCGCTATCCCTATGTCGAGCTTTCTGCGACAAAAGTCGCAGGCTCGACAAAAATATGTGTGTTTACGGTCACCTGACTGACCCTCATTTTATCGCTGTGACCCTAACCTTTTATGGCAATTTTCTGAAATTCCGGAAATTACCGCCTTTTCCGTCACCGGTATTTAACATTTTAAACAACAACGGCAGCCTCCAGTGGAAACAAATTACATTTAAATAAAATGCTTCGCTGGGGCGCAGCTTGATACGACTGCAGAGGTCGAACCCTGAACAGTTGGGGCAAGTATGGACACAACATTCAAGCTTGATAAAGCTCTGAATTTGGATTGTTATTAAATATTTGACACAGCTTAGGTTTCTGACACAGAAAGAATGTGGTCTAAGAACTTGAATTTTTTTAATTTACCTATTATGGTCCAATGTCCAAAATCAAAATACATGGTTAGATTCAGCATATCAAAGAACCCCATATATTCAATTTTTGTTAAAATCAAACAAAGTTTAATTTTGGACCCCAACTTGGACAAACTTGAAAACTGGGCCCATAATCAAAAATCTAAACACATGTTTAGATTCAGCATATCAAAGAACCCCAAGAATTCAATTTTTGCTAAAATCAAACTAAGTTTAATTTTGGACCCTTTGGACCTTAATGTAGACCAATTTAAAAAACGGGACTTGAAATTAAAAATCTAAATACATGGTTAGATTTGGAATATCAAAGAACCCCAATAATTCAATTTTTGATGAAATCAAACAAAGTTTAATTTTGGACCCTTTTGACCTCAATATGAACCAATTTGATAGCGGGGCCCACAAATAAAAAATCTAAATTCATGGTTATATTCAGCATATCAAAGAACCCCATATATTCAATTTTTGTTGAAATCAAAACAAAGTTTAATTTTGGACCCCAACTTGGACCAACTTGAAAACTGGGCCCATAATCAAAAATCTAAACACATGTTTAGATTAAGCATATCAAAGAACCCCAAGAATTCAATTTTTGTTAAAATCAAACTAAGTTTAATTTTGGACCCCAATTTGGACCAACTTGAAAACTGGGCCCATAATCAAAAATCTAAACACATGTTTAGATTCAGCATATCAAAGAACACCAAGAATTCAATTCTTGTTAAAATCAAACTAAGTTTAATTTTGGACCCTTTGGACCTTAATGTAGACAAATTTACAAAACAGGACCAAAAATTAAAAATCTAAATACACGGTTAGATTTGGAATATCAAAGAACCCCAATACTTCAATTTTAGATGAAATCAAACAAAGTTTAATTTTGGACCCTTTTGACCTCAATATGAACCAATTTGATAACGGGGTCCACAAATAAAAAATCCAAATACATGGTTAGATTCAGCATATCAAAGAACCCCACATATTCAATTTTTGTTGAAATCAAACAAAGTTTAATTTTGGACCCCAATTTGGACCAACTTGAAAACTGGGCCAAAAAATCAAAAATCTAAATACATGTTTAGATTCAGCATATCAAAGAACCTCATATATTCAATTTTTGCTAAAATCAAACAAAGTTTAATTTTGGACCCTTTGGACCTTAATGTAGACCAATTTGAAAACTGGACCCAAAATTAAAAATTTAAATACACTGTTAGATTCGGCATAACAAATAAATAAATGTGATCAAAGATTTTACAAATCTAATGCGCCATACTGTGCAATTAAAGATTACTTCTTGAAATTTTTCAATATTTGAAATTTGAAAAAAAAATAATATTTGAAGAATAATTCTTTTTAATTTCTGAAATCTGAAATGAGAAAAAATTGACCCCCCACAATTTCTTTTTATCCCCCCCCCCCTTTTTTCCCCAAAAAAATTCTTTCCCTCAAAATATGGTCATAATCTCAATTCAAATTTCCAATGGAGTTGGCAACCATAATTACCCATTTAAATTTACCATAGTGCTAACTTAATCTATTTTATAATAGAATTAAAAATATACTGTCAAATCTTTCATATGGATTTTTTTGTAAAAAAAAAAGATGCAACATTTGCAGATATTTTTACTGGTCTTCCTTTATAGATATGCATTTCTTTAAACATAATTTAAAAGCAGTGTAAGGGAAGTAACCAAAACGTTGTATTTTGATTACCTCCCTTACACTGTTTTAAATTATCTTTATTGTTCATTAACCATTACTTTATACATAATTTAAAAGCAGTGTAAGGGAGATAATCTCAATGATGTATTTGATTTATCTCCCTTACACTGCTTTAAATTATGTTTTGTACAAAAGTATTTGTCCATTAACCAGGACAACCTTGTTTTTCCCCCTTTTTTGCCCCTAATTCCTAAACGGTTTGAGCCATAACCCCCCAAAGCAAATCCTAACCATCCCTTTGTGGTATGGAAACTTGTAGTACAATTTCAGAGAGATCCATACACCGTTCCACAGTTATTGTCTGGAAACTAGAAAATGCTTATTTTTGGCCCCTTTTTGGCCCCTAATTCCTTAACTGTTGGTACCATAACCCCCAAAATCAATCCCAACCTTCCTTTTGTGGTATTTAACCTTATGGTCAAATTTCAAAAAGATCCATTCACTTAAACTAAAGTTAGAGTGCGAAAACCAGTATGTCTTCGGACGACGACGCCGGACGACGACGACGCCAACGTCATACCAATATACGACCACAAAATTTTTTTGCGGTCATATAAAAAGACAACAGTGCACACGCTGAAATGTCTCGTCTTGATTGATTTTATGTTGATAGTCTTAAATATAAAGCTTTACTACAAATATCACATAAACTTAACATGATCCAAGAAAATGAGGTCAAGGTTAGATAAACCAAACTGGAAATACATGTACACCTTACAATCATTCCATACACCAAATATGCAAAGTTGACCTATTGCACATAGTATCTAAGAAACAAACTTCACCAAGAAAACTTTACATTGATCAATGAACCAAGGCTTCCAAAACAATCATATATTAAAATGAGGTCAAGGTCAGATGAACCCTGCCAGACTGACATGTACACCTTACAATCATTACATGCTTTAAATGTAATCGACCTATTGCATATAGCATCTAAGAAACAAATTTAACCAGGAAAACTTGACCAATGAATCATGAAAATGAGGTCAAGGTCAGATGATAATTGCCAGACAGGCATAAACACCTTACAATCATTCCATACAGCAAATAAAGTTGACCTATTGCTTATAGTATTAGAAACAAAAACAAAAACTTAACATTGAGCAATGAACTGAAAAAATGCGGTCAAGGTCAAATAAAACATGCCGGACTGACATGTACATCATAAAATATTTTCATACACCAAATATAGTTGACCTATTGTATACAGTATTAGAAAAACAGACCACAACACAAAAACTTAACTTTAACCACTGAACCATGTAAATGAGGTCAAGGTCAGATGACACCTGCCAGTTGGACATGTACACCTTACAATTATTCCATACACCAAATATAGTAGACCTATTGCTTATAGTATCTGAGATATGGACTTGACCACAAAAACTTAACCTTGTTCAATGATCCATTACAGTGTCTTCTGTTTCTCTGTATGTAGCTATATGTATCAAGATACTACAATTGAGCTCCCCACCCACCAAAAAAAAAAAACCAAAAAATACCTATCGACCCTAGTTTTTTTCAGCATGTGACAGTAAACTCACATATTTTTTTCCCCAGTAATTTGGTTGCAAACGGGTTCCAATTCTCATTTTGACTTTGATACTGAACACATATATTTTTTTCATGATTATATTGGTAGTTAAAAACATTAAAATGGCCTTTATCAAAATTTGAAATGATGATTTTGTGGAAAAATAAGTTGACCGCTGTATAAAGAAAATGTTTGGGAGGGTCTAAAAGTGACAGAGACAAGTGACAGCTAAAATGATGTGAGCATTAAGGCAGGTTTGAATGTACTGTAATAATTTATAGTCATTTTGCATACTGGGTACTTTTTGAAATTTAGACATCCCAGTTAACACTTCATTTTATAAATTTTTAAGGAATTTCCAGCTATCAGATATATCAAAAGAAACATTATATTGACTGAAACAGCCGTGTCCAATAATCAACTATTTTGAAAGCAAACTTCGGTACTGGTATTTGAAGAATTACTTACTTGTTGGTATGTTGATATCTAGAAGTGGATCAGGATCTGGTGGTGGCAATGAAGCTATCATAGCAGCTCTTTTTCTCTCTTCCTCTAAAGCAGCTTGTCTTAAATATAGAAAGTTAAACAATATTAAATAATTGATGAAGCCATTAAAATGTTTCAATAAGCTCATTTGATATTTGAATTCTTATGTTTGACAAACTGACTCTGGGATGTGACAGTTGACAGTCTTGCCATCACTGACATTTAAGGAGACTGTGGTATGAAAAATTGGGTCAAGATTAATAACATTAACCTTAGCATTTGATATTACCCTGCTGTAAATGCTCAACAACAAGGTACAAAAGAAAAGACTGGTTGGTCCTGATTCAAAATGATGCTTCTGATGTCTGAAACACATAATAGAAGGTTGAGTGACTAAAAACTAATTCAACCCTGCCACATGTTTATGTGTCTGTCCAAAGACAGGAATCTCATCAGAGGTTGACTGAAGTCATATTTTAGCTTTTTTGCCCTCATCAGGATTTGGTATTGATGTTAGTTCTTTGATAACTGAAGATCTTGCAATATTTTATAAACACATATCTCTAATTGATGCTCATTTTTTACCACTATACATGCTAAATGGCTTTTGAATTTTAGGTTCATCATTTCCTCGTATATGACTAAAAGGAAATGTGGGGTATATGTCAATGTGAAGATAAAAAAAAGACACCTTTTGCTTTGCAACATTTCATGGTTGTTGTCTTAAATAATGTCTTCCATTAATTCAACAAAGGGTAAATGTCATACCTTTAAACATTAGCTAAATATGATTGACAAATTGTCATTATCAATAACAGAAGTTTGCACTATAACTTTTTTGAATTTCTTAATATATTTTTGATGTTCAAGAAACACTCTACATTACCTAGCTTTTATTTGTTTTGTTTCTTCAAATTCGCGAAACATTCTTTCCCTTTTGAGTTTGTCCATGGCTGCTGATCCCCTTGCTTCAGCTCTTCTGTTATCTTCCTTCTGTAGAAGTTCCCTTTCTTCAGTTCTGTCATACTGTGTAAGAAACAGAAAGTTTCACATTTAATGAAATTGTATTGCAAAATATTTTAAGATATCCAGATATTATAAAATTCTAAATACCCATGAATATCACCTGACAATTGTATTCTGAAACTTGAGCTAGTTCAAATGTTTAAATATCAGAAAGTAAGAAAGGATCTAAAAATTGTCATATTTGTCAGTAATGGCTTAAATTTGGGCTTACCATCTGGTGTAACTTCCATTACATGAGTCCCTTCTACTGAGCTGTTTTTCCAATTTAATTTTTGGCCAAGAACAATAATAACACTACTTTTTGTCATCAAAATACATGTATTCATTTTTTTATGTCTATCTTCCTTACAAAATATCAATCTGAGATTTTCCCAAGCCAGCAGGTTAGAAACAAGCAGAATGATCTATAAAAACATTTTTTTAAACTACCATAGTATGCCTTAATAAAAAAAAATGAAGCATTACATGTAGGCCAGAGTTACATACCTAGTACTATATATATATATTGAATGGATTTATACTGTCCCACACATCTTTACATAAAGTTATATAATCTCAGGTCACTCAATTTGGTCTGACCATTATATGAAATATCTATAACTTACTTGTTCGACTGCCTCTTTATGACCTTGACCTATGCTTTTCAATGAATTTTCATACTGAGTCTCTAACTTCCTAACTTTTTCATCTTTCTCTTTTTCTAACTGATTCTGAAAATAAAGAATTACTTCTTTTTAGAAAACGTCTTTTTTTATTAATTCATCATGTTTAATAATCTGACAAATACAAGTAAAACATCAAAATTTGTAAACTGGATAATCTTATTAAGATATAGGCATCTGAAGTCAATATATTTCAATTTCTATGTTCATTAGCCAATGTTCACTTTCACCAAATGATATAAGTAAAATGTTCAGCATAGTTTACCTGTAATTCTACAGCCAATTTAGTAACTTGTCTGTCTCTTTCTAGTTTAACAGCTTGTCTTATCTTTTCAGCATTTTGCTTGGACTGTTCTCTTACCTGTAAAAGACATGTAAAACAATAATAAATACGACTCAAATTTAAAAAAAATAGCAGAGTGAGGATGCTCAGTGTATACCTGTTTAATTTGTAGATAAATATAGAACAGAATGGAATCAGAGTTTATTATCACTGATAAGGAATCAAATGTAACTTATTCTTAGATCTAACATTTTTCTCTATTTAATGTATTTTTTTATAGATTAAAGCAAAAATGGTAAAGAATCTTCATGTAAGAGCAATAATTCCTAGAAGGATTGATGATTTTGGCCATTTTGATTTATTTGTAGATCTGGTCTTGCTAGTTCTTTTTGCTATTTTAAGTTTCTTTTTATCTACAGTCTTACAGTTTTTAAGATAATAACTAATAAAATGCTCTGCTGGGCGCAGCTTGATACGACCACAGAGGTCGATCCCTGAACAGTTGGGGCAAGTATGGACACAACATTCAAGCTTGATACAGCACTGAATTTGGATTGTGATTAAATATTTGACACAGCATAGGTTTCTGACACAGAATGAATGTGGTCTAAGAACTTAAAATTTTTTAATTTACCTATTCAAACCATATCATTATTATTTGCTTTTATATATAAATCAGAAATAACCAATTAAAAATGGAAAATTTTAAAGAAAAAAAAAATCCCTCCCCTAAAATTTTTGAACCCCCTTATGATTCATCAACCCCAAACTCAATTCCAGCCTTCCCTTTGTGGTATGGTACCTTGCAGTACAATTTCAGAGAGATCCATACACTTGAACACAAGTGATTGTCTGGAAACTAGAAAAATGCTTGTTTTTAGGCCCCTTTTTGGCCCCAAATTCCCAAAACATTTAGGGCAATTACCCCCAAACTCAAACCCAGCTTTCCTTTTGTGATATGGAACCTTGTAGTACAATTTCATAAAGATCCATACACTTACACACAAGTTATTGTCCTGAAACTAGAAAAATGCTTGTTTTTTGCCCCTTTTTTGCCCCCTAATTCCTACAATTTTGAGGCAATTACCCCAAAAATCAATCCCAGCATACCCTTTGTGGTATGGTACCTTGCAGTACAATTTCAGAGAGATCCATACACTTGAACACAAGTTATTGTCTGGAAACTAGAAAAATGCTTGTTTTTAGGCCCCTTTTTGGCCCCAAATTCCCAAACGTTCAAGGCAATTACCCCCAAACTCAAACCCAGCTTTCCTTTTGTGATATGGAACCTTGTAGTACAATTTCATAAAGATCCATACACTTACACACAAGTTATTGTCCTGAAACTAGAAAAATGCTAGTTTTTTGCCCCTTTTTGGCCCCTAATTCCTAAAATTTTGAGGCAATTACCCCCAAAATCAATCCCAGCCTTCCCTTTGTGGTATGGTACCTTGCAGTACAATTTCAGAGAGATCCATACACTTGAACACAAGTTATTGTCTGGAAACTAGAAAAATGCTATTTTTGGCCCCTTGTTCCTAAACGTTTTGGGCAATTACCCCTAACTCAATTCCAGCTTTCCCTTTGTGATATGGAACCTTGTAGTTCAATTTCAGAAAGATCCATACACTTACACACAAGTTATTATCATGAAAATAGAAAAATGCTTGTTTTTTGCCCCTTTTTTGGCCCCTAATTCCTAAAATTTTGAGGCAATGCATTAACCCCAAAATCAATCCCAGCATTCCCTTTGCGATATGGAACCTTGTGGTATAATGTCAGAGAGATCCCTACACTAACACACAAGTTATGTCTGGAAGTTACAATAAAATGCTTCGCTGAGCGCAGCCTGATATGACCGCAGAGGTCAAACCCTGAACAGTTGGGGCAAATTTGGACACAATATTCAAGCTTGATACTGTCTGAATTTGGATTGTGATCAAATTTTTGACATAATATAGGTTTCTGACACAAAATAAATGTGGTCAAAGATCTTATAAATTCATTGCACAATACTGTGCAATTGAAGATTTCTTCTTGAAACTTTTAAAAAATTTGAAATTTTAAAAATTTTGAAAAAAAAGTATGAATCCCTTAAAAAATTTCTTCCCCCCCCCCCCCAACTTTTTGAAACCCCCCTTGGAGCAATAACCTCAAAACTCAATCCCAACCTTTCCTTTGTAGTATGGAACCTAATGTAGTACAATTTCAGAGAGATCCATACACTTACACACAAGTTATTGTCTGGAAACTAGAAAAAATGCTTGTTTTTGGCCCTTTTTTGGCCCTTAATTCCTAAACTGTTGGCCCCATAACCCTTTAAATGTATCACAACCTTCTACTTGTGGTATTAAACATTGTGGTACAATTTCGGAGCAATCGAAATACTGATCCACAAGTTTTTTTCCTGAAACTAGAAAAATGTTTGTTTTGGGCCCCTAATTCCTAAACGGTTGCGACCATCATCCCCAAAATCAATCCAAACCTTCCTTTTGTAGTATTGAACCTTCATAAAAAATTTCATAGCGATCCATTTACTTAAACTAAAGTTATTGTCCGGAAACCAATATGTCTTCGGACGACGACGCAGACGACGACATCATACCATTATACGATCCCAAAAAAATTTTTGCAGTCGTATAAAAACTGCCTTTGGTTGTGTTAGGGCCATTCAAAATTTGCAGTGAGTTGTGAACTTTTATTTCAGTGTTACAGGCCTCCATTTGACTTTAAAATGAAAAAGTGCAATAAAGTGCTCTTCCTTTACTTAGGGTTTTGTGTCATGAAAGCACCATATCAATTCTACTAATTACGCTCTTCGGCTCTTCGAGGATATAACTTTAGCATTCTATTTGCCGGAGTTCGACGAGGCATAATAATTAACTCCCTTCAAAGAGGTCAAATTCCTGACCTATGACGTACTAACATGCTCATATAAATACGGCCCAGCTACCTGTGAAGCTCATATTTATTTTCCGAGCGGCGAGGTATATGCTTGTGAAAATTTTTCTCTGAGACGTTGTCCAGATTTATGAAATAAAAATTTTTAACTGAGAACGTTGTTCCAGTTCTTTACAAACAGAAAGTTATAACTTGAGACGTTGTCCAAGTTCCAAATTTAAAGATACCTTTACGCTATCTTTGTTTTTATCACCTGTGTACAGGTGTGTTGTGTACAAATGGCGGACGACGATGTGTTGTCGCTTTCAAACTCAGGTTGTGAGGACAATCTTAATTCTGATTTAGAGAGTTTGTTTTGTGAAAATACACAAAAGATAAACACTAGGGCAGATTCTCATAATGTTGAGAAACCTACATGTAAAACTAAAAGCAGGGTTATCAAGGGAAGTGCATTACCCACTAAACGGAAGTTGACTCCCGCTAAAGGCCCTAAACAAAAACAAACTAAACGTTCAACAAAGTCTAATGTCGAGGACATAGACAAGTTGAAAGATAAGCTAGGGATTGATAATCTCAATAGAAATATAGTTTCTTTAACAGCAGCTTTTCAGAAACATATTACCGGGCCAAACCCGAGCACCTTGACGCATTCCAGTGTTGATACGGAACGTCATGAGAATAGACCACGAGATAATATATCCGTGACACTTAATAAAAATAGACCGGGTGTTGAAAGTAATGAAAGGGTACAAGTACCTACACCCAGGTCAGAGTTGATCAGCTGGGGTGACCATGATATTGGTAGCGACCCAATTCACAATTATGATTTTAATGAATTTGATACTGATTACTTATCAGATAGTTATAACCCTAACATGGGTTTTATAACACCACCTGTAATTGGTGCTAACCCAGCTGATGCTTTTCATAGAGCTTTTAATGAGCCTACTAGTGAAGTAGACAAAGGTGAGGTTTTCGATGAAAACCCTGAAGATACTGAGTGGAACATTCCTCAGCTTAATACAGAGGAGAAAACTGGGCCCAAAATAGGGACAAATCTATCAAAAGCAGTTAATGCTTCCTTGTCTATCAAATCTAGTAAAGATTGTATTACTGAAATAACAAAAAGGCATTTAAGGCCTGACAATTGTTCCTTGATGGTTGTGCCCAAGGTGAATAAAGAGATTTGGGAGAATATCCCCAGGCAAGTCATTCTAGTGATGTGTACCTGCAAGAGGTTCAAAAATCTATGATGGCAGGCATGGTGCCTATTGTTAATCTTGCAAATCAATTGGCCATTAAAAAGGAGCCAATTGATCCTTCTATAGTCAAAAGTGGGTTATCAGACTCCATTAGCCTTATGGGCAATGCCTATTATAGTTTGTCTATGAAAAGGCGATATGATATTAGAAGATTTTTGAACCCTAGGTATCAGAGAGTTTGCTCACATGATATTCCAGTTAACCAAAATCTCTTTGGTGACAATATTATGCCAAGAATTAAAGAGCTGGGCGATCCAACTAAGATCCCTATTGGCATTAATAGTTCTCGTCCAAACAGGAGATACATGTCTGGAAGTTTAAACTCCAGAGGCCCTGCTGCAGGAAGCGAACAGCAGCAGGGCAACAGGCCTACTTATCTGAAAGGCCGACCTCAGCAAAGGTCAAGAGGAAGAGGACGTGGTTTCCACCTTCCAAGACGATAAAAGACGTCAATTCTATTTCTAAGGTAAGAAAATTAAAGAAAAGTTTCTGGAAAACAATTACATCTGACAAATGGATACTAGATGTTGTCGAGGGATATAAGATAGAATTCTTACAGAAACCAGTTCAATATCGTAAACCGAAAGCTATTTCGTTTTGTACGAAAGAAATTGAACTTGTAAATAAAGAGGTTAAAACCCTTTTGAAAAAAGGAGCAATTGAAAAAATTCATGAAAGTGGAAACGAGTTTATTTCAAACTTATTTCTGGTGCCGAAAAAGGATAATAGCCTTCGGCCAGTCATCAATTTAAGAAAATTGAATGAATTTATTGAGTATCACCATTTCAAGCAGGAAAATTTAACATATGCTTTAGGTTTGATACAGAAAAATGATTTTTGCTGTTCCATAGACATGAAAGATGCTTATTTTAGCATTTCAATTCATGAAAATTTCAGAAAATATCTATGCTTTTACTGGAAAGATGATTTATATAGATTTACGGTTTTACCATTTGGTATTGCTTCTGCTCCAAGGGTCTTCACAAAAGTGTTGAAACCTGTTTATGCTCTGTTTAGACAGAATGGCTTCAGATGTTGTTATTATATTGATGATTCGCTTTTGATGAATCAAGATTACGAAAAATGCTCTAAAGAAGCCTCAATTATGGCCAATGTTATTGAAAAACTTGGTTTTACAGTCAATACCAAAAAATCTGTAGTAATTCCAACTCAACGTATAGTTTTCTTTGGTTTACTTATTGACACTGTCAAATTTAGAGTCTTTTTGACTGATGAGAAAATTGAAAAAATTCTTTATTTTTGTAATTTGATTTTACACCAGAAAAGAATTACCATCAGGTTATTTGCAAAACTAATTGGATTGATTATACATGCATTTAATGCTGTTTTACAAGGACCTCTACATTATAGAAATTTAGAGCGAGATAAGATAGAAAATCTTAAAGGGTCAAACGATTATGATAAAATCATAACTCTGTCTGAAAAAAGTAAATTAGAACTTAATTGGTGGTTAAAAAATGTAAGAAAATTAAATGGAAAACCAATCAAACAAGACAATGTTCTGTTCTGGATAGAAACTGATGCCTCTCTAAAAGGATGGGGTGCTTGTTATGAAAAACAAACAGCTGGTGGTCGTTGGACACATCTAGAATCCATATGTCATATTAACTTTTTAGAGTTATTGTCAGTTTTTTATGCTTTAAAAGCCTTCTGCTCAAAATGTAGTCAATGCCACATTGGAATTAAATCAGATAATTCTACAGCAGTTTCTTACATTCAATTTATGGGCGGTATGACATCTGAAAAACTTGACACTTTAGCCATTGAGATATGGACTTGGTGTTTAGATAGAGATATCTTTCTAACAGCTCAGCACATACCGGGAAAAAGTAATTTACAAGCTGATAAATTATCAAGAAACTTTTCTGATAATCATGAATGGAAACTTAGCGAACCTATTTGTAGTAGGATTTGTTCACAATTATTTACTCCAAATGTGGATCTTTTTGCATCTAGACATAATGCTCAAATGAACAAGTTTGTATCCTGGATTTATGATCCAGAAGCAATGAGTACAGATGCCTTTACTTTGTCATGGACAAATTTTGAACCATACATTTTTCCTCCTTTTTCTCTAATAGGGAGAGTTCTGAATAAAATTTCTGCAGATAAAGTACAAAGAGCTATATTGATTGTGCCATTTTGGCCAACTCAAAATTGGTTTTCTTTACTGATTTCAGCTTTGATTTGTAATCCTATTAGATTACCAAGACACAAAGATCTTCTCTACTTGCCACACACAATAGAGTGTCATCCACTGTCAAGAAAACTTGTACTTGTCGCATGTGCTGTATCAGGAAATCACTGCAAAATTCAGGATTATCAAGATTCGAAATATCTATTATCTTGTCCTCATGGAGGCCAGCAACAGTTAAACAGTATCAGTATTGTTGGAAAAAGTGGACAGTTTGGTGTCATGAACAATATACCAGTATTTTTCGACCGTCTGAAATAGACGTTATAAAATTTCTAACCACTTTAGTGAGGAGAAAGTTGTCATATTCTCTAATTAATACATTTAAATCTATGTTAGTTCAAACTTTGATATATTTTGGTGTCACTTGGGTGAATAACCCAGTTTTTCTACCTAAGTTTTTGAGAGGATATTATAATTTAAACCCTCCAAAACTAAAATGTACTTTTACATGGGATGTCTCTAAGGTTATAAAATTTTTAAGTTCTTTAATGCCTTTGGCAAATTTATCATTAAAGATGCTTACGTTGAAAGCTATAGCACTTGCGGCACTTACAACTGCTTCTAGAGCTCAAACTTTAAGTGCACTAGACATAAGATACATGGGAAAATATATTGATAGGTACATTTTTTATATTCAAAAGGTTCTAAAAACCTCTAGGCCAGGAGTGCCTTTACCAAAAATTTATTTTATCAAATATGATAAACCAGAGTTATGTGTATATCTAACTTTAGAAGAATATGTCAGGAGAACAAGGAATGTTCGTAAATGTGACAATTTGTTTATTTCATACAGAACTTTTAATAGTGTAACAACCAGCACTTTAGCTAGATGGCTTAAAATGGTTTTGAGACTTTCAGGAGTTGAACATTTTTCCGCTCATTCATTCAGGAGTACTTCAACATCTGTTGCGTATGGATCTGGAGTTTCTTTGAAAGAAGTTATGAACACTGCTAATTGGTCAAGTAGTAGGACCTTTTATAGATTTTATCATAAGGAAGTTATCCGAGATAATAAATTTGCTCATGCTGTCCTGAACGATGATAATTAATATTTTGAGTATAGTGTGAACTTTGAGTACAGCTATTGAACATTGATTAGTTATTGAACTTTAGTGGACTTTAATTTTGTGAAATGAATCAAAATGATTTTGTTATTTGTAGATTTTGTTGAATTAACAGTAAAGTTAAATGTTATTTAGTTTTCTGTTTATCTACGCCTTGATTAGTTTATGCCAACTCTTTGAACATGCTAAAGTTATATCCTCGAAGAGCCGAAGAGCGTAATTAGTAGAATGGACTCTCATCCAAGCATAACTTGGAATGTGAAGGATGAGAGTCATTCTAGTAATGGAGCCTGAGGCTCAAGAGGATATAACAATTACCCACCCAGTTTTTGAGGGTATTATTATGCCCATCCCATGAGATGTGGTTGCATAAACAAACTTTAAAAATATGAGCTTCACAGGTAGCTGGGCCGTATTTATATGAGCATGTTAGTACGTCATAGGTCAGGAATTTGACCTCTTTGAAGGGAGTTAATTATTATGCCTCGTCGAACTCCGGCAAATAGAATGCTAAAGTTATATCCTCTTGAGCCTCAGGCTCCATTACTAGAATGACTCTCATCCTTCACATTCCAAGTTATGCTTGGATGAGAGTCCATTAGTGTATTTAGGTAGAATGTCCATTTATGCATCTTTTTTGTTAATGATACCTACAAAGGGACTCACTTTACTATATATGTTTCGGATAATTATTTCAAATTTATGCTTTTCAAAGAAAATTTTTTTTGGGGATTTGGTCTACACACGTTTAATTGATTAAGTAGGAACATAATTTAAAAAACATCGTATTGTATCTGTTAATATTACAATACTGATTACTGTTAAGGCCTGAAGTCAGAATTTAATTCAACTTTAAATAGCTTTTCAGGTTTATTTATAAAATCCGGCAAAATGAGAATACTAATTAATACTAACGCCACTTTTAAGTTACTTATCAGATTATTTGTGGTAATACACTAATCCATAATTCTTGTTTTACCTAATACATTTTGAAATAATATGCAATTCATAACTTTGATAATAAAACTTGAATAAGCACATCAAATGAAAATATTCAGGTCAAAATGTTGTCTTTTACTATAAAATATTTGCTATAGAATTCCTAGAAAGTGTGAACAGGTAGTAATGATACGATACTGTAAATTCAGAAATTATTGCGATGTTTAATTTTTATTATTGCGAAAAATGCGACAGGGTTATAATCGCAATAATTTAGACTCGCTTTTTGAAATTTTTTATATGAATTAAACAGGATTTTTCTCAATATCGCAAAAATTAAAATCGCATTTTAGTCTAAAATGACAAAATCGCAATAATAAATGCACGCAATAATTTCTGAATTTACAGTATTCAAGTTATGAACTTATGATACTACAAACCTGGCCAACATATAATATACTATTTAGTCTTTTTATAAACAAAACATAGTGCATAACAAGATTTATAGTATCATGTGTTTGTTCTTAAACTTTCAATTATTTGTTCTCTCTCAGAACACACACTAAAAAGTAAATTTTCAAGCAAGTATTAGCTTTCCTACTTGTCTAGCTTACTTTTAAATAAATATGCCATGTTAAAAAAAAAATTATGAATACAGATGCAGCAAACTTAGATTATTTTAGGCATGTATATATATATGTATCAAAGAATTAACAATTGTATAGAAAATGCAGTAAATAACTTCATAGATCTAAAACTTAGGCGAGAATGAAAAAAAAACTCATCAAAGATCCAAGTTGATAATTTTTTTTTTTTTATGCCAGACGTGCATTTTGTCTTCATAAGACTATCAAACGGCACTCAAATTAAAACAGTTGAAATGCCAAATACAAAGTTGTAGACCTTTACAGATTATATCTATAATTTTAATCCACTGTCAATACAAAGCTTCTCTACTGGAGATTCAGCAATGTTTTCTAGATTATATGAATATTAAACTTTGAGGTTAAATTACTTGTATAATTCTCTGTTTACGTCTTCGCTCAGTTTCATCTTTAACTAGCTGTGCCTCTTCATTTGGACTCAATCTATACTTCCCTCTTTTAGCCTTCATAGTACCATCTGAAGTGTAAAACATAAAACCATTGTCAGTAATTCATAGCACTTATTTAATATATATCTGAGTCTAGTGATGTTCTGATGATGGATTATAATTGATTGTTGGTGGATAAAGCATACAACTACTAGATAATCAATTGTAAAAGGAGAAGGTCTGGTAAGGGCTTATTTCGGCCTAAAATTTGAAGTTCATCTGATGAAAGATTTTTGACATTTTTTAAACACTTAAGTGTCTACTTCAGTTGATTCAATTAGTTGTTGTAAAAGATTTGGACTGATTTGGTCATAAAAAACGCTCAAATTCAACCTTAAATATGAAATTTCTATCAAATATGCAACGTCACTTTTCAGATGTTTTTTGTCTAAAATGGAAGTGGCCGCATTCGTGTACACTCTCAGTATTTATATATGTTATGTATTATCATTTAATACAACATATACTTAAATATTAAGACTGAACAAAAGTGCGGCAACTTCCATTTCAGACAAAAACCGTCTTAAAATTAGAACAAATGTTAAAAATTGTGAAGATATCAGTATGTTTGCATGAAATAATGATGCTAGTACCTGATGCATGTTCATTGTATTATCAAAAACAGTCCATATTTTTGTAACAAAAGTATTCTACTTTCCAATAAATAGCTAAAAGTTTACAATTTAACAACTTTGTAAAAACGCTATATTTTGGGGCCAAAAAGGGGTCTTACCGGGCCTACTCCTTTCATAATTGATTATAATCACTTATAAATAAATATTATGAAAGGCTAAATTGGAACCCACTTTGGATGACTGCAGTATACATACATGTAATATAGCTGCAAATATGTTCTAAATCATCAACCAATGTGTTTTTTTGCTAATACAGTACACTTCAACACATTACTTTTCATTTGTAATGTTATATATATAAATAATTGAGAATATCAATAGTCAATAAGAATTAAATCTGATTAAAAATATTTTCATGAAAAAATAAAATACAACCTCATATTAAAAGTTGTATATATAAAAATAAGATGTGGTATGATTGCAAATGAGACAACTCTCCACAAGAGACCAAATGACACAGAAACTAAAAGGTCACCGTACGGCCTTCAACAATGAGCAATGCCCACACCACATAGTCATCCAGTGTGTCCAGAAATTTGCAATTTGTGAGTATAAATAATAATTTAGATGATAAGTCTTACAAAATTAGTTTAGAACAAGAATGTGTCCATAGTACACAGATGCTTCACTCGCACTATCATTTTCTATGTTCATTGGACCGTGAAATTGGGGTCAAAACTCTAATTTGGCATTAAAATTAAAAAGATCATATCATAGGGAACATGTGTACTAAGATTCAAGTTGATTTGACTTCAACTTCATCAAAAACTTTAACCTGAAGCAGGACAGGCGGACGAACGGACGGACGAACTAACGAACACATAGACCAAAAAGCATAATGCCCCTCTACTATCGTAGGTGGGGCATAAAAATTCTGGCAACAAGTTAGCTTCAAATTTGTAGAATTAACATGATTAATATGAAATAAGAAGATGTGGTATGATTAACAATGAGACAATTATCCACCAGAGACCAAATGATGAAGATGTTAGCAACTATAGGTCAATGTACAGCCTTCAACAATAAGCAAGCTAAAACAGGACCTGGCATAAAATTTTGCTCTGGATACTGTATTTTGGTCATCAACAAGCTTCTGTCCAAATTTCATAAAATTCCATGAAGGTTTGACAATGTTATTGATGACTGAAAAACTTTAACCTCAGACTGAGCCTACATGTTGATGACACTGACGCTGACAACAGAATTTAGGATTGCTACATCTCACTTTCGCGACATAAACGTTGCAGGCTCAACAAAAATGATTGTATTTGTAGCTCTCTAACTCTTGGCCTGGTTGTTCAAAAGTGTCATTACACTGTGCTAAACTGTCTTTAGGGTGTCATTAAAATTTAACGACAATGTTGAACAACTGTTCCCAGGCAGCTAAGAAATCAACATTAAAATATGAGTAAAGTTAGGGACAATGGTAGTAAAACCCCAAAATAAATGTGCAGCTGATTATAGCTTATGGTTGACAACAGATTAAATAACACTATATCTGGCCAAAAAGGTAACCAAACATCCTCAAAGTTCTTATCTTGTTATAGAAAAAAGAGAAAAAAAACTTTGTAGTACATGTAAATACATTTTGTTCTTTTTATATTCATTTTTGTAAAAAAAAATCAATGTATTGTCATCATCTTTGATACATGTTTATGAAGGATAAATAATGAACATTTTTCATATAAAACATTTTCAAAACCTTATTATAAATTTTGTAGCTGGACATAAGTTGTCAGATAGTGTTTTGAGCTTTACAATGTACCAACACTTCATTTAGGAACATCTTTATATCTTTCCCACCGTAATGTCATCCTTAGCAAGCTCATTTCCTTACTGTTAACTGTTTTTGAGGTAATACATATTGTATATATATATATATATATGTATCTGACTAAACAATGATGTTCACTTCTGAGTAGTTTATTATTGATAACATATGATTTCCCCAAAACATGAGTTACATGACAGTCTTAAAAGTAAGATACATGTAATTAAACTTTTGGATCAGACAGACTGAATGTCAGGTATAAGTTACTATAACAAGCTCTCTATATCTCATTTGCTCAAAGCTACTTTCACATCTTTTCATCAGATGTGCTTGTTTTCAGACAAAACTACAGGTGCTACATATATGACATATATATGTCTGCCTGTTATATAAATATCGATTGCATTGATCATTAAAATGATATTCACAAAGCAGCTGACACTGTTCAACTAAATTCAATGAAAAGCTTTGTCCTACTAAACTGAAAACTATCACAAATTCATATCTAAATTTGCCCAACCAAATAAGAATGATATCTTTTATTTGTGTGTGGTGTAATGACAAATTCAGCTGATACCAACCTTTCTGACTATCAGTATCATAGTAATAATCCAAAATGTTTATTGAAATGACACTATCATGTTTGACTACAAAATTCATCACTTCACAAACTATAAACTAATTTCGTGATATACATAATTTTATAGGTGTAAATTTTCAGTATTCAACACTCTTCATGCTCAACTTTTACTGATAACTATACAATGAACAACTTCTTTGGGCCTAATTCTCTATTTAAATACGGTTATTTAATATCAAAGTAATCAAGTGCATCCCAAACAATAAGAGATTTTTTTTACAAACCAATTTATCATTTCATTTAATAAAAAATATATTTATATATAAGCATGATAAGATAAGGTTTTAAATAGTCTCTGCTGAGTTGCTTTGTTTTCATTATCAACAGATAAATCTTTAACCCTTTGTAAATTTTCACAAATATTAAACCTAATGAAGAATAATAAATTAAAGAGGTCCTAAGTTGTCAACATCAGTTATGAAAATTGTTGGCAATAATCCTAAGTGTCAAGGCTCTACTTAATACAAGATTTGTGTCAATGTAATCAGAAATGGTCCTGGTCTGCTTTATAGTATAAAAGATATGTGAAGATTGTGTATCTTAGCTCAGTGTTGACTGAATCACTTAAAAGAAAGCACATAAAGACTGAAATCTACCTGCTTTTAGGGTATGTTGCTATTAAATGCAGACATTAAGACTACTATAAAATCTGCATGCAATACAGAAAGTTCTAAAATCACAAAAACACATGATTGCTCACCAATGGTATAAATATTCAGTAAACAGGAAGCAATGAATGTGAAAATGCATCACACAGTATAGTACCTCTCACATGAACCTTGATACCAAATTTCAGGAAGCTCCGATTCATAGTTCATGAGGAAAATGAGACACAGGAACAGATGTAAAACAGTATATCCCTACAGATTGGAGCAGGGTTATCATCAGTAAAATTCTTAACAGTTGTATCTATAGCATGGTACATGTAATAATGCATGTTGACATACACTACCTATTTCAGTGCACACTCAGGAACATGCATAAACAACAAATGTAATATATATATGTTAAGCAATTTCTTGCAAACGATCAATTCTGTTCATACTGTTTACAATTCAAGTATTTTAACTAGAGCATGAGAGGTTCAAAGAAGTGTAGTATTGTTTAAATGTGATCTACATGTTTACACCAAAATCACTACAGGTCATTTCAGAATACTTTTAACATTTCAATAACAGAACAAAATGCCAATCGAAATCCAAAAGTTTATTACAGCAATGTTTGTGAGACTACACTAGCAAAAATTTTTTTATAAAAGAAAAGTCTGATACATTATTTCTGTCAAACTTGGTTCAGACGGGCCATATATTTTCTAACAAAGGAAATCTGTATGGTATAATTGCTGTCAAAAAGGCAATCCCGATACAATATAATAAGTCTACCAATCATCTTCCTTTAAAGCTCTGAAAAGGGTTTGACCTATAAAAAAAAACTAAGTCCATTTATCAGTAAATAGCGGAAAAATGAAAATAAATATTTTCAAAATTTGCTCTGGATACTGTATTTTGGTCTGACATAAACAAGCTTCTGTCTAAATCTCATAAAATTCCATGGAGGTTTGACAAAGTTATTGATATCTAAAATAAACTTTAACCACAGACTGAACCTAAATGTTGCTGCCACTGCCAGAATCTAGGACCGCTATGTCTTGCTTTCGCGAAATAAATTTCACAGGCGTGACAAAAAGATCTCATCAGATATGTCAGATACATGTATGTAAAAATTAGAGGTTTACTGTTTATTTCATACAGAATCAAAAGGACAGTGGAAATGTATTTTAAATTTATTTTAAGAAATTTAGTTATTGCAAAGGTTGATGCAGTAATGGTAATACTAATACACGACAGAAATTACACTGAGGGACACAAAAATGCAAACGTTGATGGCACAAACAAACAAAATTTTTATTAAATACTGGTATATGGGATATCATTAACAATTCGACACATACAGACAGACAAGAAAGATGAGGATTAGAAATAG